ACGTACATAAAGCACTCATTGTACAAAAAGTGTAAAGCAAAGTTTCGTCAAAATGTCTGGTGCTCCAGTTCCAAGCAAATTGCCAATCCAGAGGCTAGTAAAACAGGATCATTGCTAGACAAAAAAGGAGTTCATATGAGGCATGTTTTGACTGGAGAAAACCTGAATGACATTGTCGCTCATCATCCTTTCATATCAAGGCCCGCAATAAAACGAACACTCTCTGTGTTATAATATAATGAGACTGGGGAAGAGGAATGTGGGGTCATCAAAGAAACTTTATACTAACCTTATACTTGAAACTTCGAGCTAATTTCTTGTAATGAAAACAGGCACTGCAGGACAATGTAAGTGAAAATGATCTATCTCAAAGCAATAAACTTAATAATGACAAAAATGACAGTGTGGGACCAAACTGGCTTTGTGGATGTTGCAGCATTACAAATACCTTTCAACATTCTCAATACTGTGCCACTTGAGACCTTTGTTCTTGAAGTTGGGGAATTTTATTTCTGGTTTGCTGCAGAATATTATTATAATTTTAATATTAATCATCACCTTTTGATCAGCTTTTCAAAGTATAAATTAAAGAAGGCATGCCATGAGGAAGTAGTCAAAAGTAAGGAGACAATGGTGCATATTTGATATATGTGCGATACATGTGCACATGTCAACAGCCTGTGTTTGCTGTAAATGGCAGGTTTTATTTGTAAAGCAGCATTTCACAGGGTGAACTCATCACAGTGATGATATACATAAAATACAATAATGAAACGCCAGTCCCAATACCATTGCCATCACCTTCCTCTCCAAACACACAGTTGGTTAACACACCAGTCCTGTTTGAGCCCAATGGTCTGTATTATTGGATGCAGAAATTGCTCTAAATGGGATTGAATAATATTGAGAGAACACCATTATGTACATAGGGGACAACATTGACTCCTGCATCCTCTGCATGGTTCAGTAGTTCCCAAATTTCTTGAAGTTAGGACCACATAGATACTTTGATCTTTCTGGAGTGGACCTCCTTGAAAAACCANGGGGGGGCTGCTGAGCATGGCCCTTCCACCCTTACGGCAGTGGTTCTTAACCCCTGGGTCGCGACCCAATTTGGGCCAAGCCATTTTGAGTGGGTCGCCAAAGGTCTCCAGTGACTGTCCGAACTTTCCTTTATAGTCTAGGTCACTCATGCTACCCAAACATGCCTTTCCTTCTATCAGTCTGTCAAATGCTAAAAAAGGGCAGTCTGGATTTAAACCATGCCGCGCTAGCATTTGGGTCGCAGCCAAAAAAGGTTGAGAACCACTGCCTTACCTAGTGACACAGGGATCTCCCCCAGTTGGAGCTCTAAACAAAAAGGAAAATCATATTTTTCATTTCTTTCGTGAAGCGGCATTTTTTTCCCAATTTTCCATGTGCCATGCTTTTGTTGAAATTTGGCAATTCTTGGGGGGGGGGGGGGGGGGGGCCCCCTTGCCTCCCCAGAGAAAATCATATTTTTCATTTCTTTCGTGAAGCGGCATTTTTTTCCCAATTTTCCATGTGCCATGCTTTTGTTGAAATTTGGCAATTCTTGGGGGGGGGGGGGGGACGTGCCCCCTTGCCTCCCTAGGTTCGGCGCCTATGCATTTCTGTAACCTGAAGTCGTTCTCGTCGTCTGCTCCATTTCTCACCAGAGAAACCTTCCTAATGGAGAGGCCTTCCTTACCGAGCGGGGCAATGTCTCTCCAGGCACCCCCGTCAGGACTGGAGTCGCACGAGGGAGTTCATAGCAGGCCCAGAGAGGAGGGCAAGAGAGGAAATTTGTCCGAAGCCACATGCCCATCCACCCCTATCTTGCTATATACTCCCTCGTGCGACACTAGGCGCGACATTGGACAGTGCATTCCTCTCCCTATCGTTTAGTCGTGCGACTCCAGTCCCAAGATGGCGAAGGCATTTGCATCTCCCGAGGCAGCGAAGGCCTTTCTAGAGACATGGACATACACTCTATGATCCCACGTGATTTATTCCATGGATTCCATTTTGCCCTATTTCAGCAATGACGACGTAGAGAGGCACTCAGTCTTCTTTATCACTCGTTCTCACGTCATGAACTGAGAGGAATGAAGCTTTTCCTTCTCCCCCTCTTCGTTTATTGAAACCTGTCTCGAAATGGAGAATGTAAACAGAAACCTGACGCCTCTCGATACGTAGGAACATACAAAAACTGAGAAATGCCCCGTCACTGAGAAAAGATTGCGGCGATCCTCCAAATTGGCGTGTCTTGAGCTCGTAGCCCCTGTCGGTCTGCAATGTCAGCATGTGAGTTTCCCTTTTGTATATATCAGGAACATCGCGGAAGTTTTCCTTCGAATTCGCAAGGAGGACTTTGAAATGGCCCAAGGGCGTTCGAGTCCGCCTGAGTGAAGAAGAGGAGAAAGAAAGGGAATCCCAATGCGAACCACTCGATCCGTATTCACCGTAATTTTATTTAACCCTATGCGTCACGGGGATTATTTTTAAAGATTTGCTTTAGCGGTTTTAGGTTTCACATGACCTAAATGTTGCCAAGGAATGCCTGAATTTCCCCCCCAGATATTTGCATGCCCGCTACTGGTTGAATCAGAAGTGCGTTTCTGGACACCTCTGTGACTGTAAGGGAAGAAACAAGAGGGAAACACTCCGCGTATGTTCGGAAGTTAACCTGTGTTTTCCGTTTTTCTGTTTTCAAACACCACTGAAACGTCGTCCTGTTAGCAACCAACACATAAGAAAAAACTTTAAAAGTTGCTAATGTCTATAGGACAATCACAACACAACAGCACACTATTTTTTCTTACCTTCAGGTTCTCACTTTCTGCTTCCACAAAATTTTAGAAAATGTCTTTTTTTTTTCATTTCCTTTGCTTTGGCAATACAACCTCCCTCAACAACAGCCGAAGCAACAATGCAGTGTAGCTCGTAGTCAGCGAGCAGCCTGAACAGCACCAGTGATGCTGCGATGCTCTGGAGGGGCGACAAAGCAGTCCGCCGCACGGCAGACGCCCAAAACTATGATGTGTTTCAAAACACCTCTATGACGCATAAGGTTAATGAAAAAGAACCTGAATCTGCAACCTGATACTCGGCAGGGCACGAACGGGAGTCGAATGGCGATCGAATGCGGCTGCAGGCACGTCATGAAGAGAGAAGCGATGGGTGCGTGGGAGCATCAGGACTCCAGCTGAGAGTGGTGCCCAGTCCAGTGAAGTCTTCAGCAAGCAGGAGAAGGGCTCAGTCTTTTTGTGAGTTGGAGATGCCGAAAAAGGAACTTGTGTGTGGTATGTACTTCGTATCCTTGTATGCCATCAAACAGTCAATTGCATCTCCTTAGATAGTCAGGATGAGGTTGTACACCAGAGCTAAAGACAAATGAATCACAAGGTAGACAACAGGAATCTTCGTAAAGTCAAAAGAGGCGGCGAAAACTCCGGGCAACTAAGAACATATTGAAATGAGTAAAATGAAAAATCTGAATTGCCAGTCCTGTAATGTACAGTCTGTACATAACAGGACAGTAATGCCATTAACTGCTTACACAACTGTACATTACAGCAACACAAATACTGTGTTGCTGTAAATACTGTACAGTAAATACAACACAAATACTGTTGTGTTGTATTTACTGCTGTAAATACAACACAAATACTGTAATGCACAATGCTGTGAAAGTGGTTAATGGCATTACTGTATAACGATTGGACAGGAGGCAGCAGCTTTTGCTCCATTCATCGCGGTAACTGTTACCGCGATGAATGTAGAGAGAACCGCGTTCATTTTCGGTGCAGGTGACGATGCGACGACCGAGGAAGAGGAAACCTTGAAGAAGTCGGATTCCATCATTTCCTTCACCCTCGAGGCTTTCAACGCCCGGGACGAGAAACGGCTTTTTGATTACCAGATGTGGCTGAAGGAGAAGAAGAAAATCGACACGGATCCGGAGACGAGGGGAGGTAGCGAATTCATCCTCGTTTGTATCACGTATTTATTGGATATCCACAGACCACAGGTTTCTCGTTCTCAAAAAAGCCATCTCTAGCTGGAACTTTCCGCTAGGGATCAAATTGACGAAAAAGACTGGGAAGGAGGCAGTGAGGACAATGGAAGGGGAAAAGGGAGGTTCGGCTGACAAGTGGAAGAAGGAAGGAGAAATAGCCGAACTATATTTCGTGTCTCGGGCCAGCTTCTGCAGCAACTCGATCACCATTTTAAAGGCTCTGGAATCCCGTCGTTACCGGGTGGTTGCAATGAGAAATGTACCTTCCCAAGCTGGGCACATTAACAACCTCTATTCGGACGACGAATCCCTGAAAGTCTGCATGGACATCCACGTCCACAAATGGGGAAAAGTGAGCCGCCTCTAGAGCAAGGGCTCTCAACTCATGAAAACTGAAATTGTCCATCCTGATGTCCCAGGTGACCATCACGACCATGGAGAGGACCTCATCCCAGGTGTCTAAGACGTTCGTGAAAAAAAAGCGGATGAGTGGAAACTACGAGGTCGAGACGAAAAGGAATGGGAAAGAACACAGATGGATTTATCGACGATTCAATATCATGCGCCCCTCGTACTGTGTATGTTTATCTCATATTTGAGCAGGATTCCTTTGCATTATATGTAATTTTCTCTTAGAACTCTGTCTATTTATGACATTTTCAGATCCAGGACTTGAAGACTCAGAAGGAGGTGGGATCCTTGCATTTGAACTCTTCCTGCACGGTTATAGTGGGAAAGCGAATAAGGCTGGCACTTGCTACTTGTGAGATCAATGGACCTTTAGCAGGAATATTTGAGGCTGCTCTCTATATCCTGGCGGAAAATTACTGCTACTATTGAACACCCCTCTGAGCCCTGAGAAATCCCAATGGATATACTCAGAGTTGTCAAGACCCCAATTTATCCAGACCTAACGGCATTCCAAAATTACATTTGCTGCTTCAGAGCTGTTGCGATAGACTGGGGAATAAAAAGCACATCTAAGCAATCTTCTTTATTAATCACATAGATATAAAGCTAGATTATACTCGCAAGCATGGGCTCTCAACAATCGCACAAGAAAATCATAATGGTGCATAGAAATCCCCCTTGAATAACTAAGATCTTACAGAACATTCAGAATACAAAATAGAAAAAAAAAGAGAACTACATGAAGCTACAGTCATTATCATAACTGGTAACAACTTACTCTGAAAGCAGTAAAAAACAATAAAAACTTACATAAAAAAAAGAAATAGGCACAAACTCAAATGAGTGCACTTACCATGATGGAATGAAACAGATATACACACACAAATGTAGCGCATGACAAATGAAAAGCTCACAAAAAAAATAGTGCCCTATAGTATTTCTGTCCAGTTTATGACTGATCCAGTGAGTTTCTGGTATAAGCGCACAAAGGATGATGTCTGAGGGTGTCTCACTTCCACAGTTGCTATTTACAACTGGCAGATGCCCCTTGTATTATTAACTAGATGACTATGATGAAAATAGTTCATATTAAGGACATGGGCAGGAGAGAGGAAAGAGAAAGGGAGAAAGGAAATAAAGAACAAAAATAAAAAGGCAATCTTTAGAGCAGCATCACTAGAGCTGTAAAACAGCCGTTCCATATTATCAGCACTGTCACAAGATCTGGGCATCAGTGGGTGGACTGTTGCTGAATCTCAATTTTCTCCACAGTCATGTCAGGATTCATGGCAGTTGCTTCTTGTATGGCCTCAGCCAGGGCTTTGTCGTGATCAATTGGGTCACTGTCTGACTGAATTGTGATCTTCTGCTCTACTCTTGTCTCCACCACTCCATCCTTTTCTGTCTTATACTGAAATAGAGAAGCCATCATCACCCATGGATGCAGTGAAAATTCCAAGGTTTATCATTCAATCTAGAGGTGATCTTCAATCTTACTGTTATGGTCTCGACAGTTCGGGTCTTGGAGGTGATGGTTTGTGAGGAAACAATCTCTCCTTCCATGAAAGCAGTTCCATCATCCGAGGAGAGGGCAACCTTTCTTGTTTCAGTCTGCACAACAGGGATGTGGCTTGTGGCCAAAGCAGTTGGATTCACACTGCTGGTGTCATACTTCTTTGATTCTGTTTTAACTATGGCAGGCTGCAAGCAAAAGAACATGATCATAACAGGGATTTCTTCATTTCAAGAGTGCAACTACACTCAAACCAGCCCAAAATGATTTAAGGAGAGATGTCAGGAGGAAATTGAAGGTTGGAGAAGCAAAGGTTAGAATTTAGAGCCCTAGTGGATATGCCATCACCTGTCATCTTCTCCACCAATTATTCTGTTGCTAAATGTAGCAAAAAAATGTTGACTTGTCAACCTGCTCTGAGGAGTTGCAGAATAAGATCCATGAGACCATGCAAGATGAGACAAAAGAAAGTATAAGTCTATGTTTAATACACTGAATGATTTCAAGAAAAAACTGAGTGCTCTCCCTGAGTTTGAGTGGATATTGCCTTCTTTCCTTGTTCAGTGCTCAAAATTCCCATCACTGATCATGTCAACTCAAGGAGTTTTGATAGGGCAATTGAGGAAAAATGGAAGGGATCATCCTGTCTGCTACCACTTTTCTACTGCTGTTTTATTTTAATGATGAATTATAAGCAAAAAAATATTTACATGGTGTAAATATTTACAATATATTTACATCCAGGCACAAATTTTCTATAGCTTGTTGACTCCTAACCCATTGACGCAGGGAACCGTAATATTACATTTTTAAACCCATAGTGTTCTGGAGTCACTGGGTGTGAATGTGTTAAAAAACTTTTCACGTGACAGATAATACACTAAATTGGAGGAGTAACATAATTAAACCCCAGCTTTGGTCTCTTCACCTATGAGTTGTTCTAGTGTGACAAAAACTCCTCCAAAGCTGCAGTGAACATGAGTAAGAGGTGCATTTTTCATCAATATGGATTTTTTTCAAAGCTACATCAAACCACAAAAAATCACCCACTTCATGGCAAATCCAAAATTAAGGAAGTTTACATAAAAAAATGCTGTAAGCTATTTGTTGGCAAATCTCCTTATGCAAAATCATTGTATAGCAAAAAACCAACCACAAACATTCTGACACACATCAAAGCACATCAGAAGGCACAAATAAAGAGCTGTGACATTGGTTGCAAAAAAAAAACTTAAATGACGGGGGATGCGCAAAGCAATCAGAAACTCAAGATACAAGACATAGATACATATCAACCAACTCCTTCAGCACACTAACACACAGAATAAGATCATTCTGCATATAGATAAAAATAATCAGAACTGGTATTTAGGCCTAATATACCATTGTTATTTTTTGCAATAGTAGCATTTTTTCTGTTGCCACAGTTCATCACAGGATGTGACCTCTGCTTTCTTAGATAAGAACAAAAAAAAAAAATACAATCAATATGTGTTGTCATGGAAAATCTAGTCCTGACAAAATCAGAATGACTTTTCCCATCACATGCTGTGAAGCAAGTCCCAAGAAGCACAGTACAGTCTTTGATGATCAGACACAATGTAGGGGACAAAAAACTATAATACAATGCCACAGAAAGTTTGCTGCTCCCATTGAAAACTTTCTTTTCATGAACCTACCTGAGCTGAGAAGATGCCACTGGGAATGGAGAAGGATGAGTAGCTGGAGGACTCATCATCAAGGTTGGTTCCGGAATCACTACTACTAGTGCTTAGTCTCCTATAGGAACGAGCCTGCCAGGGCATGCAACGTTAGTGCAACGATTATGTACAGCAACACGGATAGAGTGTAAACTTGAAGCTGTAAAGAGACAGCCACATAATTACATGCAAGACCATATATACAGGTTATGCATTCCAAAAACCACGTTTTTTTTAAATTCTATATCATCTTTCATTACCAATAGTGAACAAAGGTAATGGATAGGAATGCATAAAACTGAATTGATGGCCTTTCTAAAACATGCATTTATTTTGAGGAAAAATTAGAAGAAAACAAGGAAACTGAAGGGTATCGATGTTGGTTGAGAACATATTAAACAGCCAAGGTACCCATAGGCCTAAGTTGAAAATAGTGCAAAGAAAAAAGGTCTATAAGGTTTCAGGCCCATGGAATGCAGGCAGCATAGTTTATACAGGGTGTCCCATAAGTCACTATATCATTTCAAACTGCAATATTTTCCAAAGTGCAACATGCAGGTCACTGTTGTTGGTATTGATGGAAAGAATGCTCTTTAGAATTTTTTTTCACAACAATGACTTGGAATCAGACTCGAACAGAAATGGTTTCAAATGCATCTTAGAAAGGTGTAGTTGTTAGGGACATTTTTGGTACACCTCATTGAATACTCTTCTACCAAATTGCTAAGATTTATGTTTTTCTCTCCTAATTTCAGATAGACTTGAAAAACAGAAGAAAAAAAAATAATTTAATTTGCTTTCACTTTTCATGAGAAAAGGCTTTGCAATTGATGCTAGAGCAATGAAGAAAAGTTGCAACCTGGATGGAGGTCTTTGAGAGTCCCATCAGAGTTCAAAGAGAGTTCTGGAAATTTTTGGTGTTGAGCCTCATGCCAAATGTATTGATATAGGCAGGGGGCATTTTGAGGCACTTTCAAAACTCTGAAATACCTCAATTTTTTTTACAAAGATAATTCCAAATGACATGCTATCTTTCAGTTAATGTTACTTCTTTCTTTCATCAACTGTTTAGTAAATGTTATTTTCGAAATGGTACAGTGACCTATGATGCTATATCTCAGGAATGTCTTATTTAATTGAATTTAATGACTTAATTAACCCAATACATTTTAGCTAGTATACTACATCAAGAATTAAAATTTAATAGCATTACACCATTGAGATATCCTATTAAACTTCATCTTGTATCAAATGAGCCTTGGTAGTTTGACATTTTACAGTGAATGCTAGACTGTGTATCAATTGGGCAGCAATAACTTTTCACACTGAAAACATGATAGTGCATTAAGTAGTTAAATCTCATTATAGTGGGAATGTAACTTCAAAAGGGTATCCCAAAGTAGAGGGGCAAACAGCTACAACTGACTATTTCAACAGTATTCAAAGTCCAGCCCAATTTTCATTTCCTTTTGCCCCCAGCAGCATTTTAAAAGCAAATAGAATTAAACTTTGGGAAAATGCATGGTTTTTCAAGGAGGTCCACTCCAGAAAGATCAAAGTATCTATGTGGTCCTAACTTCAAGAAATTTGGGAACTACTGAACCATGCAGAGGATGCAGGAGTCAATGTTGTCCCCTATGTACATAATGGTGTTCTCTCAATATTATTCAATCCCATTTAGAGCAATTTCTGCATCCAATAATACAGACCATTGGGCTCAAACAGGACTGGTGTGTTAACCAACTGTGTGTTTGGAGAGGAAGGTGATGGCAATGGTATTGGGACTGGCGTTTCATTATTGTATTTTATGTATATCATCACTGTGATGAGTTCACCCTGTGAAATGCTGCTTTACAAATAAAACCTGCCATTTACAGCAAACACAGGCTGTTGACATGTGCACATGTATCGCACATATATCAAATATGCACCATTGTCTCCTTACTTTTGACTACTTCCTCATGGCATGCCTTCTTTAATTTATACTTTGAAAAGCTGATCAAAAGGTGATGATTAATATTAAAATTATAATAATATTCTGCAGCAAACCAGAAATAAAATTCCCCAACTTCAAGAACAAAGGTCTCAAGTGGCACAGTATTGAGAATGTTGAAAGGTATTTGTAATGCTGCAACATCCACAAAGCCAGTTTGGTCCCACACTGTCATTTTTGTCATTATTAAGTTTATTGCTTTGAGATAGATCATTTTCACTTACATTGTCCTGCAGTGCCTGTTTTCATTACAAGAAATTAGCTCGAAGTTTCAAGTATAAGGTTAGTATAAAGTTTCTTTGATGACCCCACATTCCTCTTCCCCAGTCTCATTATATTATAACACAGAGAGTGTTCGTTTTATTGCGGGCCTTGATATGAAAGGATGATGAGCGACAATGTCATTCAGGTTTTCTCCAGTCAAAACATGCCTCATATGAACTCCTTTTTTGTCTAGCAATGATCCTGTTTTACTAGCCTCTGGATTGGCAATTTGCTTGGAACTGGAGCACCAGACATTTTGACGAAACTTTGCTTTACACTTTTTGTACAATGAGTGCTTTATGTACGTATCATACAGGAAAACCCAGTTCAAGCGAATATTTAATAGCACAAAACCAACCTCTCTTCTACAGGGGCAAACTCAGACTGAAATAACAGGTGGGCTGCTAGTTTGCAAGTGGGCACTGCTCAATCAGCTACTGAGACATCATTCTCCAAGCAGCTCGTGGTAAAACTAACACCCTGTATTACAGCTCTATGATGCATAGTTTGCATATGATAATTGTCTGAACACTATAAGAAAATGCCTACTAACCCTCTATTCCTTAGTCATTTCATAGCACAAGAAATTCAGTTTATTTCAATTTCAAAATTATAAAATAAAATTGGCCAGAACTTTGATTTGAACCAATTGGCTATAAACAATTTTTCAAACATGAAATATAAGAATGCAAGCTGCACTCCTATAAAACCGGCAAGATTTTATTGCAGAGGTCCTGAGATACAGTGATTCAAAGTTATTGGCTTTTTGCCATACTCTATATATACTTAGCACCTTTGCACAAACATCTTTCAATCATGCCAAATTCAGGACAGTAAGAAATTTATTTTCTTCTTATGAACTAAATACATTCATGTTTCCAGTGACAGCAAAAGGTCTGCATTTAGAACATCTCATATCTATAACATGCAAATAGAGTTCCTCTAGTAGTACTTGAAGTCATGCAAACTTAGCATCCTGTGGAATTTTCCTCAATGGAAAATTGACAAAGACTGACCTGAGTGTCAGTGCTGATTGCAGGGGGAACATCTGTTGTAAGCACCTGAGCAGTCTTCCTCATCTCTTGAGTGACAAACCGCTGCTCTTGCTGAGTTGCACTCTTGGTTGTTGAGGAGGCAACCACTTTTCCTTCCATCTGAAAAAGTTCATTTCAGTAATTATCTGTAAAGCTTCTGACACACATCTAAACAGCTTACATTCCAAGGGATCTAATTCTGAACAAGTCTATGTCAATGCTAAGCAAGGCAGGGGATACTGACCTGTTGAGTAGTAGCCTTAAGTCCCTGGTCATCTTTCCTTGTGGTGGAAGTCATTGTTGTGACAGCAGCAGCTGTGGCTGTCATGCGGGCACCTGGTTCCTCAGCCTGTGCAAGTTGTACAAGAATGCAAAATTTTACTCATATCTTTTTAATTATTGGCAGTCACAGATGGCAAAAGGAGTGAAAGAAAAAAAAACAATAAAGAGACCCTTGAGCCTTTTCATGCAGTAGTATTAAAAACTGATGAATGAAATTCTCATCATTATTAATTGTCAAAGATGGCTATTTTTTCCCCTAGTGATGGGTATTGATACATAATACATAAAATGACTTTTGAATAAACACATGAAAAATATTTTTAAAAAAAGGAAAAAGGGCCATACTGATAGAAGTCTTAAAGATTCCAGGGAGATCCCAAAGGAATAGCCTCAATGGAACAAGCTGAAGTAGGAATGGCTTGAAAGCATCCACAAGAGAATGTGTGAATCCTGTGAATGCCTTTCTAGGAACCTCCAGGCTTTTTACAGATGCAAGCTATATCCTACTCACAAGCAAACCTTTTCATAATCCCTTGAATGACAGATACATGAATGAATAAAAGTAATTGACATATAATGATGATCTTCAATTGTTCAAGCAGATCATACAAGATTCCACTGGTGTCACAATTGAGGTCTGAACATAGAACTTCACATTTATTTTACAGCACAGATAGAGGTACAGTATTACTTGCTGACTTGTAAAAACCATGTGGAAGTATTTGTAAGCAAAAGTTCTAGCAAACCAAACGATTTGATTGCCAAATCTTCAGCTTCATGCTAAGCAAAACAACTGCCTGGTGATGGCTGCCACCTCTCCATAACTCAGTGGTTGATATCTTCCAGTCTATTTCTGCTCTGTGGGCTTTCCATAATTGATCATTTCCACTTCAGATAACCTGCTTGGCTTACAATGTAAAAATCTGAGTAAATCATGTTCCTATGGAGTTGAGTTTCCAAGCCGAAAACCAGAAAATAATTTAAAGTAACACAATTGCAAGGGTGAAAATCAGAAACAAACATGTACCAATACCAAATGCTATAGTACCTGAATATTACTTTTCATAGGTGGCATACAGAATGCCTACATTTTTGTCTATGTCTATAGGGCATACACATGCAGAATGGAGTCATGCATGTTAACTGTCACTGCAACAATATGAAGAAGGCAGAACTCATCTTTTGCTTTCCAAACCAATTGGAATAGCAGTGAAACTGAGTACAAAAAAAATTTCATCAAGCACTTTCTCTCTCCCAATTTAGTACACTGACAATACAAATATGAAATGAGAGAATGCAAAAATATAGATAACATGGCTACTTAATGCATCAACTTCACCTGTCAGCTATAGCAAGACTGTTTTATTTTCTCTGTATTCCAACTGACAGAGAATCAGGTACTACATTTCAGGTTGAAAATGTCGTATGTAGCATAGACTTCTTAAATTTTGGCTTATCACAACAGACTCATAAGATAGCAACCAGCTTTGACACCTGTATCCTTCTCATAGGTACATACTGGTTTTCAGGTCACAAAGCCAAATTCATGATTAAATTTAAGACTAAAACATTTTAAATAACTTGATTGACTATGGCAAGGTTTTGCCACCAGGTGGTGGTGAAACAAGTACATGAGTCTAACCTTCGATGTGCTGGTCTGAGAGATCACCTTGACATCAGTTCCCCCCGGAGATAGATCCTCAATCTGTTCTTCAATATTTTCTGTGATTCCACCAGCATTTTGCACCACTGTTTTCTTCGTGGTGGTTTTGATTATTTTAGGTGGTGAGGACTCTGTGTGGCGCTCTTCTGAAACCTTCTTCCACTGATTAATGTCTTCCATTGGGGCAACTCTCTCTTCTCCATACCCTTCTACATCACTTTCACCAGAAGAGGAACTAGAGCTTGATGATGTTGAGGATGCAGATGAACTTTCATCCTCATCACCATACTTCCCTTTGGGAGAAGAAGATTTTGGAACTGGAATCTTGCTAATGCTAGTTTTCTTTCCATTTGCCTTCCCAGCTGGAGACACATTGGAGCCACCAGTGGATTGCAAAGGTCGTGGTAGCTTTGAACCTTTACCCATCCCAGACGATTTCTCATCTTCCCCATCTGATCTCTCCTGATTCTTCCCTGGAGTCTGTGGAGATTCTACAATTCCAGACTTTGACTCTTTCAGGATCTCTCCTTCCTTAGAAGTATGCAAGGTTGGGATTGCACTCGAAAAGAATTCAGTACTACTTTGTTTCCCAATTGCATCCCCAGCCTGTCCACTAGCATGTATTTCTTCTCCCATCACCTTTTCTCCCAAAAATCCATCTCCAGTTCCAGCTTTTCCCAATAACCAACTGCCATGAATTGGGTCTCCCTTGCCAGGCCTCACAAGTCCTGGTTCTTCTGAGGAAAGAGCAGTTGTTACTGCCTTTCGACTACCCCCTATTCCAGGGAGGTTGTCATTTCTCTCAGAAGGCATTTTGTAATGATGCACCCCGTGTTTAGATTCATGATCAGGTGAACTAGGTGATGCAGTTGCATGGGGTGTGGTAGTTCCAAACATAGTTGCCCGTCCTGGCACCTCTCCCACTCCAGCTACACTCCCAGTACCATAGGCATGAGTAGCCACAATTGGAATGTTGCTTCTATTTGATGTTGCAGGCACATTAGACACATGAGCTGTAGCAGCTGGTGAACTCCAGCTGCTTGGTTTCCCATATTTGCTTTCTAAGCCAGTTGGTGAGAGAGGGGATGATTTCATTGTATCTCTATCTTTTGTCAGCCCAGAGGACTTCTCATCTTGCTTCCCAGAGAGAAGCTGAGACTGGAGGTCTTGGTTGTGAAAGCTGGCTTTTCCTTTGTCATCCTTATCATTGAATGCAGAGATGGCACTTCCATGAACACCACTATGTTTGGCAGCTCCAAATTGGGTGTCTGCACTTGATCCTGTCAGCTTTTGCTCAGGGCCAGACTTGAAATCAGGCACTCCAGTTGGGGAATGCTTAGGGAGAGCTGTCTTCTCACGTATCTTGCCCTCTTCTCCAGGTACATAATTGTATGCAATTCCTGTCCCTTGTATGATTCTTTCCATATCAGAAGATGAGAGACTGGAATCTTTATCATGCGCTTTTTGCTCATAAGAAAAACCACCAAGTTTTTCTGGCTCATGAAGAGATCGCTTATGATCTCTCTCCTTGACCTCATATGTGTACTCTTTGGTGTGAGATGGGGAATCGCCAAGACCTAACTGAGTACGTAACATATCTCGAGCTGGGGTACTGGCTCTCTCAGGGCCATGTGTAGAGGAAAAGAACTCTTGGACCTCAGCTACAGGCTTGGGAGAGGAAGAGGATCCAGCATGCGCTGCTGATGCAGTCTACAGGCAAAATAAAACAAAACAAAAACACACATGCATAATGAAAAATTGCAACTCATCATCACCAATGACACAGCTAATATAGTTTTGAACTTCCAAACACATGCTGCAAACAAGGCTAGAACATAGGAAAGGAAGTATTGAAACTTGTACGGCAAGAAACTCACAACTTCTCTGTCCAAGGCAGATTTTCGATCTTTAAGTTTTTGCAGCTCAACTGGTGGCAACACAGCAACACCACCGACTGGTTTCTATGTTCAGAGAGAAAATAAAAGCCAATTAAATATGCATGAAAGAAATGACTTCTTCAAATCAAATACTGCAGAACACATAGATCATGAAAATGCAGCAGAATTTGATACTATGCCTCAGACATCCTAAGGAGTTCCACTCGGTGCAAAGTAGATCTGACAAGAAAAGCCATTTCAAGGCCCAAGTGGGCCACAAATTTCCAGGATTTGGTCACCTTATATTGTCATGACTTCATTTATTTTACTGCATTAAGTTTAATTAATAGTCTTATTCTGGATGATAATCCTGAAAATTCATAAATCTGATTAATAAATGTATAAAACTCTTCAGCCAATCATGAGCAATAAAAACAGACTCTTTCCCACAATCTCACAACTGCAAGCCTTGTAAGAGACCAGAGAAAACAAACCTCAATGAGAACCAAAAATGATTTTTAAAATATGGGGAGGCGACATGATGAAAAACTACTATTCCAAGAACAGCAGAGGCATATTTTTCAATCCTATCCCAAATACACTTTTTATTGCACTAAATTGATTAGTTAGGCGAGCATTGCTTTATCTCTGATCAATCAGGAGCCAGAAATCTGCCAAGATTGCAGTCAAGTGGCAAGTAAATTTCAACCCTCGGGGGACTTTTCACTTCCACAAGATCATTTGACTTGAAATTCTGAAGAAAAAATTTCCCTTTGGCTAGTGCAGCACACCAACATGAAATTTTCAAAGACTATTAAATTTCTTAAAATGTAACATTTTGAGCTGATGAACTCAATGATGCCCCATGTTCTTATAGTACAGTTTGATCCACATAATAGAATACTTCTGGGATGAATGAACTTTATTCTATAACCTGGAGTATTTCAATAGCCAAAACTATCATACTATGCTCCTTTTTTTTACTTCGTGATTTTTAAATTATATCATACAGAATCTGTTTTTGCACATTTTTTATTACATAATATACTTTTTAAAATATTTTTTTGTACCATTTAGTTTTTTATATCCTATTTCTTCTCATTTTTCTGTTTTTGTATATTCATCTAATTCTATTTTCTTCTATTCATAATTTAAATACATAATTCCATTCAAAACCTCAGGCATTTATACTGCATGACATGGCACAAATTTTCAGGTGTAAATGGCAGACTTGTAAAAATTGTAAATTTACAGACTAAGAACTTAGTATTTACATAACTTTGATTTCCTATTACCTACATGTTGAAGAGTCAACTTAAGCAAGAACCTGAAATTTAATTCTATCATCAGCAAACCAAGTCAATCAATTAGTCAATCAGAAGAAACAAGTCCTCCAAACAAACCCAATTAGGTGCAGTTTCTCTCCATGCTGGAAATGGGTCTGTGCATGTGATTTACAGTGAGATCCATTATTGCCACTGTGGGAGCAGATGTGAAACTACATGATAAATAGGTTTATTATTGTCACTACTGATGCATGGGGGCTATGATGAGTTTGTCATAATCACTTAACAGATTAATGGAACAAATGACAAGGAATCTAATTCCTCTGAGGGTGCATTTGACCACCAGTTTGACAGAGAAACAAAAGTTATCTTTACCACTAGGACTGCAGATCAAACAAAAATTTTGAATCAAAACTAGTACCTTAATCAGCTCAATTATCTACATCTTGCAAAGGAAACAAAAAAATGAATAGCATCATTATGATGGCTAAGTTACAGAAGAATGCCTGCATATTACTGAATCTTAGATATTACTGAAAAAAAAAACCTTTTTGCTATACTGGTTGTATTGTGTACTTATTCCTGACAATGCTCTATTTTTAATCTTGCCCTGGTACAGTGATGGCCTGACATTGCAGTTAGTCATATTCATACATTGTGGGCATCAAAAGAATGAAAAGAGCTAACAGCAAAACATTGATGAGATAAAGCACAGGTAATTCATACCTTACCCTGCTTCCATAGCCATAAAGGAAAACTAATGCAAATCTGGACACATTTTGGAATTCCTCATTGAAAGGAGAATTGATTGAATTGATGTCATTTAGTACTCAGTATTTTCATGATGAGCAGACAGGACAGAATTGATTCACTAAGGGTAGGATAAGCTTCAAGAAAGTCTTTCATGGCCAGTGTCTTCAAGAAAACCAAAGTAGCACAAGCTATTGGATCAATATTGGTCCAAAGTTTGGCCAGTACAGATGCAATATACTGCACTGCTTGAGAGGTTCTATATCAAAGAGTAAAGCCACCTCCAAAAATTTCAAAACATTTTCCTAATGACAAAGGCATGAAATAACACTGTCGACTATGTAAGTGACCTTTCTACATCATAAGGCACCTTGCTTCCAGGTACTGACTTTGCAAGACCTACTGAAAGCCTATCCTACACAAAGCAGATGAACACTGTCCTGTCCATTCACTGAGGATTTAAGTATTAAAAGACATCATTACAATTCTCCTTTTAATGAGGAATTCAGAAACATATCCAGTTTAGCATCATCCTGTATATATTGCAATTTAGCCCAAAAATCTTAGATTCAGTATTTCACACCTCAAAGGTATGGAGATACAAAGAGAACTCATTCCCCACCATCAATATGATACATATTGAAGAAGAAATTTAGAAACCTCTTCATAAATGATAAATCATGACTATTTTTTATCATAACCAAAACTACAATAATGAAATGAATTGACAGCCCAAATATTAAATGTCAGCATAGCAAGTAAATTTTTGCTTATATAACCTCAACCATACAAAGAAGTTTCAATGTTTTCTCACAAAACTAGTTCAACATCATATAACAAAATTTTCAAGTAGCAATGACAAAAACATTTCTACATATCATCCATCAAGATGAACCTCTCAAATTCTTGATTTACTATTATTGTCATTAATTTTCCAGGGATGTCAGGGCATTAGTCTTACAACTTTAGCAGAGAATGAAACATATGATGATAACAGCTGGTAATTCACCAGACCAGGTAAGCCTATTTCAAAAAAGCAACAGGGAATTTGAGACACAGTGGAGGCGAAGCATGCTCTAAGACATCAAGTACAATATTGTGTAGAACAGTGGTTTTCAAACATTTTGTCCTTGTCCCCCTCTCATCAAGAGCAAATCACTGGGGGGGGGGAATGAAACCAGGGCATGACTGATGGGGGGAGGGAATGTCCACATTATTTGCTGCTTTAAACACAAATTTAACTCCTAAATCTCTGTATCCCACAATTTGAAAACCACTGATATAGAACAATCTGCATATCCTACCAAATCTATATAACATTGAAGGTTCAACCATACAGGTAGCAAATATCATGCTAAATGCTGCTAGTAACATTCCAAGCAAGCCAATGCAGCAAGAAGTATACTTCATTTCACTGGAGGAGACTGATGAAAGAATATGACAGTACAAAAACATATAAATAAAATATAAGTACAAAAACAAAATGCACCCATAGGCTGCAGGAGTATATTCCCATGTTTGCACATTTATTGCAATTTAATTCTGGATATCCAGAAAGCATTCAATTTATTCCTTGGCTTCTGACACCAGTATAAACTTCAGTGAGATGAATACTTCTTGAACTGAGCTGAGATGAATAAAGCTAAGGAACTGTCTGTGTGAGAGCAGCAATAAGTGCTACATATGCACTAGAGCAATCTGAACTCACATGTGAAACAGGAGAATGAAGCTCTGCAGAGCCATTCACCATTCTCCCACCTTCCATTCTGGGAGATTCCTTGGAAGATCCTGATTCTAAACTCTTGCTGAGTTCCTTGTTTTGAAGTTTCTCATCTATCACCAATTTCTCATTTACCTTCTCTTCATCTGTCTCTTTATCCTTGTCTTTTTCTTTCTCTGTCTCCTTTTCCTTTCCTTTCTTTTTCTTCTCCTCTTTTTCCTTTCTCTTCTCTTCCTCCTTTCGCTTCTTTTCTTCTTCCTTCTCCTTTTTCTTTTCCTCTTTTTCTTTCTTTTTTTCCTCTTTTTCTCGCTGTTTCTCCTCTTGCTCTTGTCGCTTCTTCTCTCGCTCTTTCAATCTCTCCAGTTTCCTCTGCTCTTTTTTGAGTTCTTTGTCAGATTCATCAGATAGTGTAGTTTCATTCAGAGATGAGGTCCATTCATGTGATGAGCTGCTCTTTCTTCGGCCTGGTCTTCCTCCATCCTGAGAAGCAAACCTTCTTTATAAACCTAATCTACCTAAGGAGCAAGGATCCACTACTCCTCAACCTCAGGTCTCCTCCTCCACGATTATAAGGGGGAATGAAGGCAATGGTTCATTGGAACTATAAAACTTGCTCACCTTTAAAGCTTGTCATATTTTTGTCATGTTTGCTTAAACATACATCGAGTATTTTCTTTCGTACTAGGATCTTCCTCTACTGTCTACAATGGTATGTGCAAAAAGCACTTGTGACAAGATTCAAGTGTGGCATTCTGATTCAAATGATCAATGGTAGCTGCACCTCATTTAAGGATTTGTTTGAAAAAATACTTACATGATGGTCTCAATAAGTTATAAAAACCTTCCATTTTTCAGCACTCCAGCTTTAATATTTTTCAAGATAAGCAGCCCAAGGATAGTCCTCTGGGGGTGAAGGTGATCCAAGGGTCATGAGTAATAATAAAAATGATGTGTGGAATACCCTTTTGGATCATAAATCAGGTCAGTCTGCTATCCCAAGGAACCATTCCCACTTAAGATAACAAGCATGCCCATGAATATATGGGTTCAACTGCTAAAACCATCTCAAAGCAAGGAAAAGAGCAATCACAGACAAATGGTATGAGAAGCATGCAAAAATCCACATGGAGCAATATGAACTAACTGGCATATATGGAACCAGCACACCCAAAAAGCATCTCAATTCCCCATAATTATTGGTCTTACCTTTTTCTCTTCAGGTGAAGGAATGGCATGAGTTGGATGAGACATCCTTTTAGTGGCCTCTTCCATACTACTTCCATCTTTCCCAAGAGCTGAAAAGAACAATGCACATGAGCAATCCTGATAGATAGAATAACAATTTCATTCCATACCTTGGCAATTCATGCCTGCTTATTAGTAGTTGGATATGATCAAAAAAACTTATGGTATGTTAGGTCTACACTGATGAAGCTAGCAGTCTCAACATTCGGCATGCAAAGCATCAGTACTGGCAATGGGGGCAGAACTACACAATTGGAAAAATTACTCTGAAAGGAGCAGTACGTAAGTGTATTCTCTAAGTCCTGTGTTGCAGCTGTTAGAAGCCATTTCTGCTCCCTCCCATGATTGATGGAAGAAGTTAGGCTTTAACAAATATACTGGAAATATTTTGGTTTGGTCTGCATATAACTTAACATCTACACCACATGCTTTAGTTTTATCAGCTGTCTACACCAGAGAAATTCCATTTGTCAAGAGTCAAGGTTGACTCTTGAAAAAGTGATCACTTCAAGAAATGCTCCTCTGAATCAGATCACAAATCTGAGGAAGAACAACTTGATATGCCTGTTGTTGCAAATGGGATGTTAGATCTAGATACGGGCCTAATGAATTCTTCAAAAGGATAATTAGTACCAGAATTTTAAATGTCAAGCTAAAACAATAAAATAACAGGAACTTCTGATTCTGTTCAATACTTCCATTAAGGGAGAAATGAAAAAAAATCACTAATAAGGCATTAACCATGGCACAGGACTGAGGGAGTACACTTCAGTCTGCTACAGGGAAAATGATCCTCAACTTCCAATGGAGGGTGTTCCAAACACTTTTGGCAAATTACAAATGTACACTAGTACAAATGTCCATAACTTTTGAAAGAACAAAGATAGAGCCATGAGATATAATTTTCACTATGGAGGACAGGTGACACTAGCTATGATGGAAACTTTTCCTACAAAGGACCCATACCTGGGGTCCTTGGGTCCTTGGGTCCTTTGCTCTACTAACCTGACTCCCTTGGATTATTAATAAGGGGATTCTTCATTTCCTGTGTGCACAAAATACAGCATGTCCCAGAACCCAGAAGTCTGGAATCATGGGGAAATAATCTTTTTCCACGTTTTTTTTCAATTTTTTTTTCAGTGTTGTTGCAGGTATAATGGTAGAAATTGACTCCGCAAAAATGAAAGAGTGAAGATTATTTGTATGCATGGTTCAAGAAGCCAGCATTATGTAGCTAAAAGACAAAGATTTGCTTTGTCACTAAAAAGTAACTTGCATGTTAAGTGTGCACCAACATTATTTTGTGACTCACTCACAAAATTCCACTCCCCTTACAGAAACTCGATGAAGACAGCCCTGAATCATATGGAATTTGCTAGGGTGTTTAATTCAATGAATGTTCTGCATTCAATGAATGTCTCTGAAGAAATTCTTCTATTAGACTTTTCCAGGCTGAGGGGAAATCATTCACATTAGCAGCCTCCTAAAATTTTGTGTGCAACTTGCATACAGATCCTTGAGTTATTGGTGATCAACAGGTATTTTTATCATTGATTATTTTAGTCACATCATGCTGACTTCCTGAACCAAAAATGAAAATACAGTGAAAGCATGATATAATGCGGGTGTTGGGGGACATGAATTACACTTGTGTTATACTGGAAAATGCACTATGGAAGGTTGCTGAACCCCTAACAACTGATTGTTATGAATGAACCACAGCCCCAATGAGAGAACTGCAGTGTAGTTGCTTTACCTTGTGACACGAGTGTGAAAGAGGTGTTTCCCGTGTATTAGTCACAGCATTGCCCATTGTTGTGTATAACATGCATTACAGTATTAATCTTAAACCAGTGCAGACAGCATAGACAGGGTAACAAAAGATGGCAATATTGCATAACGGATGCCCTCACAAAGTCATGTCTTAACCCTTTGAGGAGTGGGTTTTTTCAACAACTAGATCACCCATAGTGAATACATGAAGGGCAGGAGGATGTCAACCCGTATATATACAGGCATACTCGTCAAAAGGTTAAAATAGAATGCCTAGACCTATACCTCTCTCCTCAATGATAAAAAAACCAAAGCAATACAAACTTAACATGAAGTTAACTTCTTTTTTTTGGGTGACATGACTTGACCCATGGAATATCTGAATTTTCTAACCTCTAAGGAGCCGATCTTCCAGATCTGCTGATAGGTCGGCTCCTTAGAGGTTAGAAAATTCATCACAGCATTTGTCTCAATTTTAATACCCCTTCAGCAGAACCTTTGGTAGCACATTTAAAAAAATGTATAGAAGCTACAGAAGTGACAAATAAGATTAAATTTCGCCAGTCACCATCAAAGACATCTGTCTTCCCATGATAAGAGTAAGAATGGTGCATTGCAATTGTAAGTGCCTTGGTCTCAGAACTTTTTGACCACCCCTCGTATGTTCCTGAGCATGCCAACCAAGACAGCTGACATATTGAGCACCTGAAGTTTTCCGCTGTATTTTTTTCCTTGTAAATGTACTTCCAAAAAATAAAAATAGCTCCTAGATCAATTGAGCCATTTAGTTTCTATTCTAATTTAAACATGTTCAGTTACTTAGTGCCCACCCTGTATATATAAAAGATCTTCAGGTATTCAATTTATGGCATTTCACACCCTGCATGTCTACAAAGGTTTTTTTTTCAGGGCCTCAGTCACAACTGTTTGGTGTGACATTTATCTGTCACTGCTCACCACACCCTTCAAAATTCAGCAAACCAGAAGAAAGCTATGGTGGATCTCAGGGCACCACCAACAAATGCACTTTGTAACCTTACAATGCTCTGCCCTTGTGTTAAGCCACACAAGTTCCCATCCATCGGCTTAAAAAGGTATCTACCATAATTAGAGCCACCTCTCCCTTGTGCTAAATATTAACATGGTGCATGAAAAAGCAGAAGGTAATCTGGTCATCATTATATACTTTACATGTACATGGCTCTATCTTTCTTTCCTCAGAAGTCAGGCACACTAATAATGAGTCAAGGGTTTATAAACACCCTGTACTTTAATCAACTTAACAGACTACAAAATCAGTTTGCCAGTACTAACACCGTGTTAGCAAAGCTCACCATCCATACTTCTTGATGAAAATCTCTTGCCAAGGGTGCGATCGAAGTTGGGAGGAGGTCGATCAATGAGAGATTGCCTTGTCTGATACTGAGTTCTCCCTGAATACCTGAATCGAGACCCCAGTCGAGGGAAGAGTCCACTTCTCTTGCTGGGAGTTTCAGGAGATGCCAATCTGGAGAGGGCAAGAATGATTGCACTTGTGACAATTATGGCAAGGTCAAAGGTTTTCATTGACACCAGAGACATGTCAGAGCAGAAGAAAATCAAGAGGGGCTCCAATGCCTGGCATATTGTATTTTTAAATATTGCATTGAAGACCTTGAATGATTGAAAAAAAAAGCAATGCCATGAATGTAGAACAGGGATTTTATCCCTCTGCCCTTTTGATACCTGGTATATGGCCATGAAGGGGATTGGGGTTAATAACATGGTCAGCTCTGCAGTGCTCTCAATTGCATTAACCATTTGGGTTACAATTTGAAATGCAAGCAACTCTACTTAATAACAGGTCCACAAATAAGAATAGCAGACTAATGCAAAACTATACCTGAAAAATGTGTGATGCTCCACACAGGTTTTCCATAGCCTCTTTGCAGCTCTATGATTTTCCAGTTTGAATCCAATCGTAGACTCAAACTGCTCAAATTCTCCTGGTCTAATCTTGATATAAAAATGGCTCCTCTTATAAGAAATCTTGAGGATCTTGGGCCATGCAAAGCGATTAATTCTCAACCTGGAAACAAACAGGTGAACAGTCAACATTTACATTGCCATGCCAATCTAATTTTTCATCTGTTTTTTCTACACCAATACCAATCAGGAGGGAAGCAGGTGTTTCACACTTACCTGTCCCTATACACAAGCAGCCCAGATGCACAAACTCCAAGCATGATAGCTACACCTTCTGAATCCTTGGCAGGATGAAGGTCAACTCCATACATTGCCAGTTTCTTGGCATTCTCTAAGTAGTGCAACTCAGCTTCAGCAGGTGTTTGGCCTCTGTATCAAAATATACAATGGAAAGTTTTTAACTACATCTCAGGTAACTGACTCTACTCTCATCAAAATTACCTGTGAGTACGATGGAGCTCCATAACTTTCTCTTCTAACTCAGGACTCTGATTGGGGGCAAATCGGAGTTCCTCCAGGTAATTAGTACCATGTTCCTCAGGATCATAGTCTCCCAACTCTGACTGTGCCAAGTATGACCCAAGCAGTGCATGGGTCACAAAGGAGCAAGGGAGTCTGGAAAGACCAATCCAACAAAACCAGATGAAAGCTTAGACTTTTGGAGTCAAAATTTCCCTACTTCACCAATCTCATTGACATATGAGAACCAAAGACAAGAAGCAATGTAAGTGCCCTTACTTGCCACTCAAGATGTCATCCCGTATTTGCAGGCAAAGTTGATAGCTGAAAATGCACCATGAAATAGATCATAATAATTTTAAATCAGCTTTAGAAACCAGGAACTGAAGTCAGTAAAGTTCATTTTCATACCGGGTAATATCTTCCTGAAGCTGTGCAGGGTCTGGAGGGTAGAATTTCACTTCAAACTTGAATTCAAGCTGTGCATCTGCTTGTGCATGCAAATGAAAGGGAAATGACTTGTAGCTTCACATCTTTTAAATTAGAATTATTGCTAAGAGTAACATCCTATACATGTTGCTTACGTCTGTCTATTCCTTTACTGTACCCGGAATAATTTATAATATTGGAGTAATAAACAAACCCTACTAGTCACGTAGGAAGTAACCGATTCTAGTACAGTAGACTATCTCTCAAATAATGATACCAGATTTCACAGAGGCAACTCATTGGTTTCCTCAAAGAATGACAACCAGGACCAAGATGCTGCTCAAGACTCTCAACTTCCTGTATACTACACTGTACTTCCAAGTATAGTTGTAACATACTATACTATGTTGAGTACAGTATACCTCCTGAAGAGAACTGACAAGCCTTCCAAGTCCAGTCTGAGACCATTTCACTTTCAACCTTTGTTCTAGTGGTGGGAGCAAAATTTCTCTGTCTTGTGAGTGGAGTTTTCCTGAACCCATATGACAACTACTATATAAGCAATAATTTTTCAAAACAACAGATAAGAAAACCTGTGCATACCATGCATAATTCTCCCTGCAATGCTGACCCTAAATCAGATCTTATGTTCTCAAAGGTCAGAAGCCCAAACTAAGCTTCTTCAGACTACTACTAAGTCATGCAAAAGTTAACACTCCATGCCATGATGCCCCTCGTCAAAAGTCCTATCAAATCTGACCAATACCATGAATATTTGCCAGTATAAGCATCCACAGGTAGATGAAGCTAATAGATTAAGGAAACTTGGATGCATACATTCTTCTAACAGCAACGAAACTTAATTCAAGGGAAATCACACAAAATGGGCTCAATGACAATATGTCAGTAACTGTTAAAGTCCATTTGAACTGAAAAGTAGGCAAGAGGCTCCACATAGACAACCTGGAAATTTGTTTTCCAGGGTACTGTTCATTCTTGGGGAGTCAAAGAGTTCCTTTCCCTCCCATTCAATTCTTTTTCTGAGCCCTCATACCTAGCATGGATTGTATTAATTTTGGTTAAGTGTAGCTCAACATATTGGGACATAAAAAAATTCCAAGTTCCTAAATACAGTTTTTCTTCAGGTAATTTTTCACAAAGAAAATTTTCATAGGTGTTCCCATCATTGATGAATCACCTATGTTGATACCCTGATACACAAGTATTGAGAATATATATTGGAGAATCTGGTTAAGGCCATCTAGTTCAACATTTTTTGGAAGCTTCCTTCCTTTTTCCTACATGATGATAATGTAAGGAATATAAGCAATTACAAATTGTCAGTCAGCATCTTACCTCCAATTTGCTTTGAGATCCTTTTCGTGAGGTCAAGCCATGTCAAGATCTTGTTATGGTCAGTGTATGTCAAACTGAAGTAGTCTTTCTCCATTAAGTTCAGATGGGAACATACAATGTTCAACAATTCCACTCCATTTGCTCGTTTCTGTATGTAAAAGCAATTATTCACAAATTAGAGTTTTATCATGCCTGGAGAATATAGGTCAAATATGGAGAGCTAAAATATAATAAAACATACATCAATAGGAGTTTCAAAGATGGTGCCATCCAAGAGTTTGATGCGAGCCAAGACCTTCTTCCCCCCAGACTGCATCTTCATCTTGGGAGATTTTTCAGCAGCATTGTTTGGTGCTGCAGCTGTTACTCCAGGCATGATCACTACAGAAATTTGCAGGAAAATCTTTCACACATGGCTAGGAAAGAACTATAAAGAAATTCACTCTAAGTCAAAGTAACTAAAAACCAACTCACCTATACAAAAAAATTAGCTTTATCAGCAGGCTCTCAGCACATTATAATGAACCTCACTTCATATCACCAATATTGGACCTTGTGTTTCAACACCTGCTTTTATTCACACTCATTTGGGAAAGGCAAGGCAAAATCTCCAGTACCTTTTCAGGTTTCTGCAAAAACAAAAAAGTGTATGACAGCATGTGACTTATTGATAACGATGACCTGTTCTAAATTATGGTGTTGGATTACACTATAACCCTTCCCTCAGCATAAATTCTCACATAGAAAACTACAACCTGGATGAAATTACGGAGGGAAAAGTATGCTTGGTGGTTGAAATTCATGAACCTGAACCCCGTTTCACAGCAAATTATCACTCCGTTTTGTAGCTTTAACACGTCAGCATGAATGAAGATTAGTGTGGCCAATATGGTATCATGCAGGCAGGGGAAGGATATGATGGTACAACACCCACGTTTGGCACCAATGAAGCTGTCAACACAGCTAGAATTCATGAATGTAAAACTCAACTAAGACTGCGACTGAGAACCGATCGATCGCCGATCAAGCACCACACTTTGGGATTATTACCAAAGAACCTCAATAAGCAACACTGCAGGATCCAGTTCCAAACACTACGTAAAAATGCATCCTACAAGAGCTTGTTTAACGTCTCCTGTGCGCCGTCCCGATAAAGATTCACCTTTTCGAGTCGTCAGAATTGATCGTTCCTCAATGACCTGGTCGCCAATGGATTGCCATCTGGCGATGTCATTGCGTGTCCGCACTCCCTACAATACGACTGACGAAAGGGGGGCACAGCCTCTGAATCAGGACTCCCATGGGAGATTTCAATTACTCTCTGTTACACTCCACTCTCAGTCCTAGTGCGTTGACTCCCACATCTGTATGAACATGTTGACTCATCGCTTGGCACTGCACCGACCACTTTAGTTGATCCTGGGAAAGTATTCTAGCCTTGGCTTGGATAAATGGACAAGGCGAGTTCGCTGGTCAAAGAGAACAGACTTGCACCACGGCAGATGCTCGTCATCTTTCACGACAGGCACTTCCTCTATCGGCATTACAAATAAACCTCTCCCGTAAGCATTCAAAGCCTTGCAGAGCAAGGTTCCAAACACTGCTACACTCGCGTATACACACCGTAGCAGTAAGAATAGCGAACGAACCCCGGCACATGAAATGCACTCTCTTCCAATGCCTACTGTCACGAGGACCATGGTGACTCAACATGGCGCGCACGATGGTGGATCGATACCGCTCTCTCGCTCCACTCTTCTTTCTCTTTTCCGTAGAGATACTGGGCACTGGGCAAGTTGCACCTGGAGTTTAGTTGAAGGGTTCACCCTAGGCTGGTTGGAAAGTCTTTCTGTCCCATGGTGCACCATATATGACTCACGAGCTCATCTCACTCGCAACACCACCTACGCATTAGTTTATCTCGCTGTGATAAGGTTCTTGGGTTACCGGAGCAATAGTCCCCGCGCCTTTTCCACGACTCAGCAGACCAAGGTCCACTTACCACTTTGTTGCAAGCCCGTCCGGAAATGAGGCGTGAGGGGGGGGGGGGACTTGACTCCGGACTGCGTGCAAGCAGCGTGCCCCCTCGGGCGATTTCACGTAACCAGTGTGGAATGAAATGGAAAGCCCCTGGCCCCCTCCTCAACAGCAGCGCTGGACCACGAAAACAAAGGGGGCTTTCTGAAAATTGTCCTGGGGTATCACAGCACTCGGAGGACTCTCCGGAGTGATTCTCGCCGAGGCACGCGATGCCATTCGAGCTGTTCCAAAAGCATCCCCAACGAAGCGAAGCATTCTGAGCCGAGTTAAAAACAACCCTTGTTTTAGATTGCGAATTTACGAGCAGCTGGGTAGGGATAGTGGCAGGAGAGCATGACTCATATTCCCATTATCAGAGCATAAAAGTGCTCCATACCTACGATCCATGACATCGTCGACAGGACATAAAAGCAGTCATGATGGATACAAACGTCAGAAAACCACGGCGAAACCCAGTATGAGTCATCGATCACAGAGCATGAATATAATTCCCTTCCACTTCATGTTTTTTTGGGGTGGAATTGTGGCATTACACCATCGATGAATACACGGTAGGAGGAAAACCGATTGGTTCAATTTTCCTGTCTCCCATGACGGAATGAGAGGGAAGTTCAGCAACCGATTTATTTAAACTTGCCCAATCGTGAGATAAAAATGCTCATCCTTCCATTCATGAGGTCGTTCCCCTTGAAGGCCCCGTGAGGAACACGACAGCCTGGACACGGGACAAAGCTGAGAGCACAACACAGCACTTGCAAATAGACCGATCGGTTCTGCTCCCGCTGCTCCTTTCTACAAAGGAACTCTGGTCAAAATGCGTCCTTCGGGGGGAGGATGAACGCACTCCAAGAGGAAGCAAAGAAGCCCAATCAGACTGGCGACAACAAAGGGCTCACAAGGATAAGAGTTGTGCCTTTTGCGCATTATCATTTTGCGAGGAGAAAATCGTGACATGTTGAATGTGTACAGATATGGGATCCCGTACACTCAAGCGGCCTTGAAACCAGATCTGAGCAACTCAGACTGCCGACACTTCCGCGGGAATGTAGAACACTTCTAAGCATATCTTTTTGGCACCTCTTTAACACACCCGGGAAATGATGAGACATCGCGAGGCCCCACTGTGACAACACTTGGGGTCTCATGTTTGCCACAGGAGGAACATCACGATGGAAAGAAGAGGGTGAGGAGAGAGATACTGAGGGGCAAGATCAAAATCCGATATACAGTGAGGACATGATCACCAGCGCTTCGACGTGGCTGGAGGAGAGAATCGTGATCGAGAGCACAATAGAGGCCTGAACGACTAAAGAGAAGAACTCCAACACGGAGCTTGGGCATAGAATCCTTCACGAGCTCAGTTTTCCACGAAAAACGGATTCGTAACGTACGCAGCCAAGCGCCTAGTTATGAACAAACAAAGATAGCGATAAGGTACTTGGCGAGATGCGAGATGTAAAAATAGAGCCTGAAATTGTAAATCTTTCCACGAGAGGGAGGAATGCTTGCAGTGCTTGCACAATAGAAGTGCATTGACGTCCCCAGGCCAGCCGATATGATGAAACAATTCAATGCTCGCAAAGCAAAAGCCAACTTTTTCTTCCCTTTCCCATGCTCCATGCCAACCTTTCACAACAACCTGGTCGGAAATATTAGAGTGAAACTCAACCGACGCGTAGTTCTCTTCCACAGGCTATAGTGTTTCCTTTCAATTATATTTATGGAGTCTACACAGGATACTGTATCTTCAATTTTGCGGTTGTTTTCGACAGTTCTAGCTATCCAATTCCTTAAAAGCATTCATTTTATGAACGGTGACTGTGGAATAGTATACGCGGATCAAGCAAAATGCTGCTCAACAATGCCTCCCCGGGAGGAGAGTTTTTCAACCCTTTTGGTAAATGAAGAAAGGTCCATAGAGGCGAAATTCCACAAATGACACTGCGTCGGGTTCCCACTTCCTTAATCGGACTATTTTTGTGCTCTTCTCATTCCACATATGGAACAAAATAAACAGCTTTCTAACTCGAACAGATAGTTTGAATCCAAGGCAAATGGGATATAGGAAAGTAGACCTTGAACGTTACTGAACAATAACGGGCTTTCGAGGTTTTGTGCAACCATGACACTAGCCTAACTAATTTGCAGTCCAACCGAACACTGTGATGTCATACCCCATTGAAGAATGCAGATGAAGCTTCTAGGGGATCATTTATAAGTGCCCAAGGGCCAGAAGGCTTGCCCAACACCCATGGTCACTTATATTAAGTAAGATTCAAAACCTGCAGCTGACTTGACTGGAGGCTAAAGATAGGAGAGACCCAATCACAAAAAAAGTTTTCAAACCTTAGGAGAAGTTTTCTCCACTCATGCTCCTAGCCAAGGGCTTTAATATTGCATAAACTCCACTGGATGGCATTAGCCAACAAACTACCATGCATTGCAAGTGGCAATAATAATTTCATCACTAGCATGCTAGCATATGGAAGAAAAAGGGAGTCCAAAGCAGGTGGAAAACAGATTACATAAATCCTACACAAATAGTTCCGTTCCTTGTGATCAGCAAACAAAATGAACTGACCGTGACTATGGCCTGAATGCACAAACCTCCTTTAGTTAACAGTCCTTTAAGAATCCATAGACTCCTATAAGAGAAAAAGAGCTCTTTAGCTTAAAGGCCACTTTATTTCCCCTTAAATGAGGTTTGGGCATTCAGGCCTTAGTCTTTATAAGAGTCATGTAGTCAGTCTCAAGCCATATCACTACATTGTAAAACTTTCTTAACAATAATATACATTGCTGTTGCTAAATATTTCTCATATGAAAAAATACAGCCACTTAAGTTTGACTCATTTCCTTAGAAAGGTTAATGTACACCAAGGCCACGATACAACAAATAACACTAAGCCTTTGCATATGCTAGCAAAATCATGTCATTACAGTAATTGAACTGAATTAATATTATATTAGCATTAAGTTCATCCTAAACAATATGACCATCTTCTATAAAATAAAAATTGATCCATGTTGGAAAGTGCTATGTACTCATATCTAGCTAATCACATTAGATGTTACATACACAATATTTACTAACTTCATGCTCTCAGCCTATTTTTTTAGTACCATCTTAGAGTTAAGTCATTGATGGCCAGGAATTTCACAGGAAACAAACTACTCTAAAACATTAAATTATGCCTACAACAAGAAAAAACATGCTTAGGCTTATAATGCATATTTCCCAGTTTCATGGTAGATAATGGTCCATAAGTCATCATAAACAGCAGAAATGCAATGGTTAGCCTGAGTGAATAAACAAGTTTAATTTAACTGAGTACATAAGTTTCTATGTCCAGCAAACTACCTGATCAATCCTCCACCTTTATCTAATGAACCTTTCATTTCCTGTATTGAATTTTGAAGAATATTGGCTTCTACTTCCACTCTATATGGTGTCTCAAATGCTATAGTTATGCTACAGAATTTGAGAATTCATACTCTTCTAATGGCAATGACTACACTTTATCTATCCTATGCATTTGAGGATAGGTTTTAATTAGAGGGTTTCAATGCAGTTTGTGTTTTGACAAAATAAACTTACATCCAAATAAAGCTGAATTTAAAATTGGCATAAAACTCTGGTTGCCAGACCACTTTTAGTGGCTTTAGCTACTGGTACTATAATGGAATTATACTCCACCAACACAGCAGGAGATTCTAGGTATTTCAGTCACTTTCTATGCTTCATCTAAACTAAAGAAAAGCCCTGATAATTATTTATGTATTGCCCTAACTTTACTAAGATCTGTGGTCCACTGCTCACCAGAAATTACTGCAGTTATAAACTTCCTTTCTTTGTCTTTTCCTTATGACCTCATTATGAACTTACGCAATCAGAATAAACAGAACAATGAACCTCCCTTCTCCCAGGTACCAGCAAAGGAAAACTGTTACTATGAAGGTCCTTTCCCCTATATCACTCTTAACTGCTCCCAGAAAATGAAATAAATGGAAAAGGTTATACAGTGTTTTTAAGATGGGTCAGAGATTTTTTTACTTGACTTCAACATTCATGCATGAGGAACATCCCAACCATGAGTGTCAAAGTCAAGTGAAAACTGTCTGACTCAAGTGAAAATACTACATAAAATAATTACTGTTCTCACATTGCAGAGAACTTGGGAGGAGCAACTCACACCTTCCTTCCCCTTTTTCTTCACTCTTCCCTGTGTCTGGAGAATAGCAAAGAGCAGACAGAGATTGTAAGGGATTTCTGAATTCCATATGATACCCTTGACATTCAGCACCAGAATTTTTATATATTACTTCAATATATTACTGGCTGAACTTTATTGGCACTTTATCATCCTTACAGCCAATTTTAACTCCACACACCTCCAAGTTCATAAAAAGAAAGAGATTATCTAATTTATATTCAGGACAACTTTGGAAAAGATGAACAGTTGCTTGACCCATTTGGCCAAATGTGAAAGAGAGGCAGCATAAACATTAACATTCACTAATTTTGTATTGTCCATGAAAGCCACATCATTCTTGAAGGGCAAGGATGGATGATAATTTGATTTTCCTGAATATTATTTCCCAGGACTACCTTGGATAGAGACTTATTCCTAAAATTTGCCAAGTTAATCCCAAATTACTAGCCAAGCTAGGGTCACTTCAAGGTATTCAACAAAGTCTTTCTATCCTTGCCCCCTTCTAGAATGAAAGAATATAAATGAGAGGCCACTTAATCTGGTGCCATTGGATAAAATTAACATGATTGTAGTCTAAAGTCAGGCTCTGCCAAGAAATAAAAAAATTGGCAACAGATTCGCCTAAACCTACTTTCCCAAGTTTACCAGGTCACACTGGCTTTTAGGCAAGGCCTAAGTTTGGCCTACGCCCAAAGCCCCAAAACGAAGCTCTATGGCTACGTTCTTCTTTCCTTCCTCCTTTTCTTAACCTTAGGTTTAGGTTTAACGTTAAAGTTAGCTGCCCCCCTTAGACAGCTAAGCCAACAATAATTTGCTTTCCATAGTCATTCACCTGCGCTTCCTGCGTGACAGAAGATGGGATTTCATGTATGTCTATTAGACACCTAGGCCTACTTCCCAGACATTTTTGGCCCATATCCAGGTCTGCGAAAACTAGGACCCCGGTAGTCCTTATCTAACGGTTAGCCCTGACCTATCAGGGCGTGATGAATTTTCGGGCATTGAAGGGACCGGTCTGAAGACTGCCCTCTAGACTGGCCCTTGTCTATGCTAGCGCAGCTTATTACATGGAAAGTTTCGGTACGAGTGCCTTAGTCAACGCACAACACAATCGCAGCAAATGGATACAATCTGCCCCATATTTGCTGTTTGCATAGATATGGAACGACATCTTCTGCGTTTACAGAAGGCATGTAGTTACGCCCTCACCCTGCAGATGTCGCTTAGTGTAATGCAACCATTGAGTGAGTGAACGCCGGGCGTCTGTTCCTCGCCTCTGCTAAACTTTATCTAAGTCTAACTCTAAATATTTTGCTTTTAGGCTGCTTTTAGAGTAGATTAAGTTTAGATTTAGATTTAGACTAATATTTAACAGAGACGAGGAACAGGCCCCAGGGGTCCTTAAAGAACTTTAAAACCGTGGGCATAAAAACGAGAACGTCGAAATCTCTGTTGCTGGAGACTGGAAATATCTATCCAACCTCGTAGCCAACCAAACGGGCCATTGTCTCCTATTCAAAAGATTCGATGCCTGCAGGATAGAAAATAAGAGGCAATCGCCTGGAGGATTAAGAACTCAGGCAATCACAGTAATTAACCTTTATTTCCGATTACAATTAACATCCTATAGGTTCACTGCACAGGAAAATAACCACCACCAGAACAAAGGAATGTCAGATCCATTCGATCCTCACCAGCAACGAGGAGAAAACAAAAGAGGAACTGTCAACAAAACAAAAAAGCACTCAGGAGGGGTTTCCAAACCTCTTGTTATCAAACGTTCTCTCACAAAAACGCATTGGGGGCAGTGTCGTCACGAAGATCCAGGAATCGGTGTTCTCACCGATGCAAGAAACAATCACGAACGAGACGAGACACTGACACATGAACACTGACTATTGATTTGGTACTCATTTTGGCTCCTGGTTCCTTTTTTTTTTTTCTCCCTCCAGTCTCGAAGGACGCGAAGCGCATATCGTATCAAGGATGGAGGTTTACGAACTCCTCAAAGGTGAGTTCTCGTGTATCTCTTTTCTCACGTCCGGAGACATTGTGGAGACGGTTGGATCGGTGACTAGCGACCTCGATGCAGAGCACGATGAAGCGATTGTTGCACGAGTACTTGGCCCCGTCCAGGAGCCGCATGTTGTGGAGGGAGGAAGCAAGACCGATCTTCTGCGGCGAGGCGCTGTGCCATGCGTCGCAGTATGCGTCCAATGATCTCTCTCCCGTGTCCAGAGCTCCATGCCACACCAACTTCTGAGGCCTGCGACACGATCCACATGCATTCACATTTTACACATTTCTGCATCGCATCAAAATAATAAATAATAATAATGAAATAGTAAAAGGAATCAGACCAGGTAGAATCCTTGAGAACATCCCTGCCATCGAAGCTATAGATTTGGGAATGATGGGAAAGCAATCCTTCGGCCCCATTGAAGATGCTCTCATACGTCTCGAACAAGAGGTCGCCCTGAAAATGAAAAAATATTCCATGAATGCATCCACGGATGGCGTAACGATGTCGAAACCTGAGCGTAACCTTTTCAAACTCACTTTCAGATTGATCACAGGGAGTTTCTGGTCAGAAGGCTTGACTATAGAGTCCAGATTCTGAACTCGGGAAACCAAGAAAGCTCGAAAGGTGCTCTCAAGAGAGGCACGTTTCGCTTGTCTGTAACATGCATAATCTGCCCCTCGGAGCCCTTGCAAGTCCCCTGTCCATGGCTCATTCAGCGCAGCAATACGTACCTAGCAAAAGATACAAAGCAAAGACGGACGATGCTCGGATGCCGAAGAGAGAAGTCGATTATCGAATTACTTTACGTCTCTTGATAGTCAAAATTTCCTAAGTTCCCTTTATTTTCTTCCAAAATCTCATCTTTCAACCAATAAAAGCCGCTCGCCGGGTATTCCTTCATATGCTCACAACTTTACAAGTCCTTCTGCGAATTGGAATCCTCGATTTTGATGATCATCATTCAAATTCGTCTTTTCACATCCGACCTAGTTTTCAATTAAAGGGGATTTATCCTCTTTTTTTTTAGGCTTACGCGGTATTGAGAATTATGAGGCGTTTAAGATAATAACGTACGCTGGGTCCATTCGAACGATGAATGTGATTCAGATTGAATGGTTCAACCCGGGGTGGGTTCGTCGTGAGCTGCGGTTTTTCCGTCGTCTCCTATGAGAAAAATTGTGTTGAGACGAAATGACCGTTTAGTTTCAAGGGTCAGCATCACTCTCAACAAAAAAAAAGAACGGTGTTTGAACCGGGAAGGGCGGAACACACACACGACCGGGCAAATAGCCAAGTCCAAAAGCATGAGAAACCAGGTTAGAGGAGAATTTAAAACATTTTAAAGACTCACCAAAGGAGTTGTTCGCAGTTCTACGAGAGAGCCCAACTGAAAAGAGATCGAATTTTTAATAGCACTCAGTCCGCTGAGAATGACCTTTGACCTCTTTTGTTCCGACTCACCATGATCTGTTGCCATCCAGAAGCAACTCTAATGAGGAGGAATTGTTTCTCGAGAATAAAGGCTAGAGTGCCTTCAGGAGTCACATCAGACAACTATAAAAGAACGATAGTCGTTCGGTCAACGATCTGTATATAGGGCAGACCCCTCGAAGAAAGGGGATAGGAAGCTTACTTCGAGTAGCTCCTCCATGGTTTTGTGTATGACAGCACCGGGGACGATTCTGACGGGGTCTCCGAAGGGAGGGACCTGTCCCGGGATTCCTGGAGGATTGACCGACCCTCGACGGCCCGGAATACCTACGAAAAGTTACGCAAAAGACGTCAACATCATAAGCACTCAGCCTTTGCTCTCTCTCTCCCTGTCTATCCGGTAGAGAAGGCCTGATAATAGGTAAAACATGATCCAATTATATGGAGTGCCTTATGTCCTTTCCACTGGGAACGGGAAAACCAACTTCTTTCCTTGTCTGTCCGTCCCCTCCCCTTACTTCATGCCTCTTTCCTTGCGGCAGTCGGTACTTGACCTCGCGGTCAAGAGAACTCATAACGACGTGTGATGCATGGTGTAAGCGTGACCGGATGGGTTCGAGAGTGGCTCTGAATGCATTACTCTTTTCTTCTAATATATCCTCAGGAGTGTGCAAAATCCCAACTTTATGAGCCGAGGACCTCCTACTTGAGCCCCAAGTCATTTCAGAATAATATATACGAACTGATTATAAATGCAATGAATTTTCAGTTCCCCACCCCCTTCTAGATCTCATCAAACGAGACTCATAAAACCTGTGGGATCCAAGGAATGGCGAAGAGCCTCGGCAACAATTAATGGCACTGGAAACACAAAGAGGAACTCAATGTTTCCACTTACCTCCGGCGTACTTCCTTCTCAAGCGGTGGGAACTAGAGATAGAGTCCGATGTTGAGCGTGGAACGTTCTAGGAGGGAAAAAAATTCGGTCAAGGATGCCGAGAGGTAGCTTCAGACAGCTTGAGATGGATAGGAAATGTCTTCTCACGTATCGATAGGACTCTTGATATTCCAAGTCATCGTGATCAGGGATAGGGATAGCTCTTCCGGGATGATCCGGTGGACCCCTGGGACCCGGTGAGCCTGGTGGTCCCGGTGGCCCCTCACCAAGGGCGACAAGCACAACATGAACAAATTCAACATCACAGGAAGATTCATACGAAAACAACTCAGAGCTCTGTCCCATCGGAACACCAACATTACATTCTTCAATCGAGCTAATGACAATGTCAACTTACCGGATCGTCATTCTGACAGCCGGACACAAACCAAGATGTTACAGTCAATCATCTAGTACGGCTAGGTTATTGTTTAAGATGTATCGCGACCAAGAAGTGATAGAAAAATGAAATCCTCTTACCGGCCAGCCGGGATGACCCCTGTCCCCAGGAATGCCCGATTTCCCCGGGGGACCGGGTGGTCCAGGCGGACCGGGGGGTCCTGGTGCACCCGGTTTCCCCCTTCTACCCCTTCGACCATCGTCTCCTTTTTCTCCCTATCAAGACATTCACATCATTGACGCATGAGACCTTCGTCATTGCGAGGTGGAAGGGGAATAAGCATGCAGTGGACCTTGATGAAGATATGAGTTCCATTCTGGTAGGCGTATGAGACAGGGCCTGGAGGACCAGAAGGTACTCTGTCTCCTTTCAAACCCGCTAGACATTCACAACTCTCCCCCTTCTCTCCTTTCGGCCCCTAGGGGAAGGACGACTGAAGGTCATGTCTATTCCATCCAGAGAATATTACGAAAAGGAAAGCTCATAGAGGGCTGGAGTCCCGCAAATATTTTGCATCAGCCCAGGGATGAGAAAAGACAAATTATGTTACAAAGAAACGACAAGATGGTCACGTCGTGGGAAGTCCTGTTGCACGGGCTGAGACACGTGAGATGTCCTCCATTTATAATCCGTCTTCTAGCTCTTAACTCCATATACGAGTACTCCATACTTTACATGCCGTACATGCAAACCCACTGCCCAGATAGGCCCTAAGCCAACAGGAAGGAAAATAATGATTCACTCACGGGGGGGCCGGTAACGCCTGGAAGTCCTCGAGGGCCCTCGGGGCCAGGCGGGCCTTCAAGACAAAAAGACCGCATCCATTCAGTTTACCACCTTTAAAATTATTTTAGTTTAACAGGTAAACACTCATATATGTGTATGCTGACCACTAATGACCTCTCCTCGGTTGGAACCATCTCCGATGACATACGAGGTCCCAGGTGGTCCCGGCGGACCGACTAATCCCACTCCAGGATCGCCTGAAAGGGAACAGAATGAGAGTGACAAATCCAAGAGATGGATATTTCTTGTCCACTGCCTCGAGGAGCTACGATATGCAACTAATGACGATGATAGAATGGAGCGGAGTGAGCGGTACCCTTTTGACCCTTGGTACCGGGTGGTCCCGGTTCTCCTGAGCGGCCAGGCAGCCCAGGGATCCCTGATGGACCTGACGGTCCCGCCTCTCCTTTCGGCCCCGGTTCTCCGTCCTTACCCTGTCATTACAGGCCAAGAGTCAAACGTGTCGATATTGATGCTTTCAATCTGTCGATTCCTTTATCCTTCACGGGCTGCAGGTGTTGTACCTTGGCTCCTCGCGCTCCCTGTTCTCCGGGGGGCCCAATGTCCCCTTTCTCGCCCTGGCTCCCCCTTTTCCCCGCGAAGCCTTGCTCTCCTTTGGCACCTTTCTCTCCAGGCAAACCCGGAGTCCCTGGCCTTCCGGGCATCCCGCTTACTTCCTTTGAGTCGAAAGAAATAAGAAACCCGCCGTCCATCGACCAATCGACATACAACTAAACATAAATGCGATTCCAAGAGGAGAAACTGTTTCGTGGGAATTAAGAACTTGCTCGGTGCACCTCACCTGATACAATCCTGGATTCCATGCAGGCTAACAAATGGGGAGTTTCGTAAATCATCTTAAAAGACTCAACGGAGACTGTCAAGTGCCTTCCGATAAGAACATGGGAATAACTTACATTAAAAGTATCACCAGGAGGAACAGCAGGGCCAGGAGGACCTGGGGGACCAGCAGGACCGGGACTCCCCGGCAACCCATCTTCTCCTGGCTCCCCTGTTATCGAGGGATCGGAGAGAAGAGAAAGGTGAAACGTGACTCTCGAGGAAGGGGAACGCATGCCGGCAGTTATTGCTCATGAAAGAGAAAGATGTGTTGAACAACACGGAGAGAGGCATATAATTAGTACAAAGGATGCAACGAGAAACAGTCAGTCTGAGGAGTCGTTGCAAAGAATGTCGCACTCGCACTGGTCGGTAGCCAAGCAAAGTCGTTCTTCCCTTCTCTTCGCCTTTACTTATAAGAAGCTTCCAGGAGAAGCTAGGGAAGCTAGGGAAGGAATGAAAGTAAATTTAAATTTTCAAGACGCTTGAACGCGATCAATGCTCTCTAAGCATATATATTGGAGGGAGGGGGAAGGGGTTCAGAAAGTTTGAGAAAGCGCAGTAGTTTCCAAATCTTGCGACATCAAGAAAAGGATGGATAAGGGTTCTTTTCAGTCCTATTTTTCATTGAAGAATTGACAGAAACTAACGAAATCAGACCTGGATGTTGTCCAGCATGTGACTTCCTAAACCATTATTTTCAACATTACATGAATTTCTCTCGCGCAAAATGCTCACACACATTAGGGGTTTTACCCAAAACTAACGATTTTAACGGAAAAATGACATTTTCTGTCTCAAAACTTATAGAGCGCAACTTCCTATCAGATTCATTTTTGCCAGTAATATGAAAGATTGTAGTGTCTCTCTCCTTAATGAAATTCAGTTAGATGGGAAGCTGCGCCCTAGTGCACTGCAGTTTTTTGGATTTATTTTTTCTATCCCAGATAGGTCTAATACTTACATTTCTGTCAATTTCTCACGGCAATAAAATTTTAAAAGTCGAACAAGCCAAATGTGGAGCGAGAACTCCTAATGGTGCCAGGAAGAATGAGCAAAAAAAAAGTTTCTGGGTCATAGGATGAGTGTTACACTAGGAAAACTTGCCGAATATCCAAGGAATGGAGGAAGAGAATGGCTCACAGATAACGCCAGTTTTCTTTTCTTCTCTAAAGCTACTCCACCATTGTGCCATTGTTGAGTGCTTAATTGGAAAGCCATGCAGAGAGAACGCCTCCAAAGGCAATATCGCCAACTTGTTCAAGGGTTTGATCGATGCTGGTTTATTGGGATGCAACTCCATGCATACATCGGACTGATGCTGGGCATCTGAATTAACCGACGGCGATCGAAACACTGGCGAAATTATTTTAAGAGACGTCGTTTAAGACGATCAAGTGGACATCGGCTTACTTGTCCACGTCCTGCATGTATGCGCCATCTGTAGCTCAAAAATGGAGCTGAATTCAATCAACTATTCCTGAACTCACACAGGGAGACCACTATTGCCCTGCAGGGGAACCCGAATCTGAGATAAGGCCATAATCAGCCCTTATAGAAATCTATCCTCTCTCAGCGGTTCTGAACTTAAATGCCGCGCACCCAGGGGCGCCGCAAGACTGACAAGGGTGCCGTGGGTGTCCCTGGTTTTCTTTCTTGGCCCGTCTCCAAAGTAGGGCAAGAAGGACAGGAGGCTACAATGTTCCTTTATTAGTGTGCTCGATAAGCACTTCACACAAAGGACAGCAAACCTTTTCTGAAGATCCGCTTTCAAGTATAACGCCTCTGACTTCAGCCTACTCAATAAACGTGTACACCAGGGGTACGCAATAAAAGTCAATTTGATCAAGACTGGATTATAATGCATATTCCTGGCATATACTTTTATAAAGAGTATCTTCAAAGGAAGAATGTCAATATCAATATTTTTGTTGCAATGAAGATCCTGATTGTTTTTGCCACAACATATGAATATCTACCTTCCCTTTTTTCTTGGTATATCTACTTAAAACAAATATAATTATAATAAAAAAACAAGTACAGGTCCCGCCTCGCATTACAACCTACATCACTGGGTCACTTCAAATATTGAGCCAGATCTCGATTTTCTGGGAAAAGGTAGTCACAGGTATCGTATTGAAGGGAAATAAATATATTAAAAATTAAGAGTTTGAGTTAATATTCTTGAAATGATCGCCATGCTAAGTGACTGCTCAAAATAACCCTTCCACGAATGGATTCAGAAGTCCTGGTTTCCCTTATTTTTAATTATGCCTATATAACTGAGCATGATGGAGATCCAACCTTACATCAGATAGAGAATTTCCAACCCAACGGTTTTCTAATGCGTGATGTTTTTTATATTTCTCTTAGACATTAATCGTTGAACGAAACTGTTCCAAGACTTAACAAGACTTTGGGTCGGTGAGAATACTCCATCACTCGGTGGCACATGTTTGAATGAGAACACTGTCGAGTGAAAACAGAGCCTTGCTCGCCGCCATTCGTCTTCTTGAAAAATGACAGTTCTTCGGGCGATCATCCACTCATCATTGCCTCTGCCTGTCGTGGACGGCGGAATATACTTATATTTTCTTACGTCACGTTGTCGTTGACGACCAATCCTCATATACAAGGACCACTGCTGCTTCGATATCGTCACAATCCGTGGCGGTTGATCCCCATTGATACCTGGACCACCTTAGGGCAGCCATTCTCAAACCTGAGGGGGGGAGGGCCACATGGCCTGGACTTTCTTTCCTTCAATATTAACTTCAACGAGCATTTCGTGAATAAAAAAAAAGCAAAAAGTTGTATGTCTTGTTTGCTTTATTTTAGATGAAAACCTTTCAACATTCCATTTCGACCGAGTCGAGGAGTTCCTGGAGTAGCAGGATATAGAAGGCTGAGAGCGAGAGAAGAAAAAACAGAGATGGAAATGAGAGAGAGAGAGAGAGAAGGGGTATACATCTGCCTCTATTTTTCTGGAATACAAGGATGATTCGTTCGACCCGTTTTTCCTTGAACATGAGATCCGATTAATTATTTGAAAAGACAAAACTCAGGAAACGTCTAAAAAAAACATCTCGAGTCATGAATGTAAGATGAGGACCTCGCTCTCCTGCGACGACTCTCTCAGGCAGTCCTTTCAACAAAAAAAAGCACTGCCGCGCGTTTTTGGCTTGGCATAGAAGAGAAGCATCAACAGCTCTCTGTCAGGAAAATACTCCTCCCATTCGTCTCATCTTACCGATGAGTTTTCGGCGTTAGCTGCAATAAAGACGAACCATGCCGCCTGGATGTTGAAAACGAGCTCTAATATGAAAATGAGTTATTTCCACCATCAATCTCAGGTTCAATCAGTCGTACGCCCTGAAGCAGCCTCGTCGTTCTCATTAAATTTCGTGACAGATCATTCAATTGCTGGCTGTGGCCCAGTAATTGAACTCCTGCGACTCTTTTTTTTTCACTCGGTTGAGAACATTTTTTCTATTGGTAGGCTGCATTAAAGCAGGGCTTCAGGCTTGTGTCTGGGTACTGTTTTCAGAGGGAAATAAGCCTGCGACGCAAAGCCAGGATTGTGAGGGGACGCATACATGAAAAGTTTGAGAACTACTGCCTTACGGAGGAAAATGTTTCCCTAAGGTGAGTGATGCAACTCTTCCTAGAAATGCCTGGTGGCCACAAAAAAATACGTGCAATTAAAACCCACCCGACTAGCCTCGAAAAAATCTTTAGCTTTTCAATTAATGAAGCCGTTAGAAACCTGATTTCTCACCCTTAGGTCCCTGAAGTCCAGGCAAGCCCGGCACACCAGGCTCCCCCGTGTCACCCTTCGGACCTGCTCGACCTTCTGGGCCTCTCTTCCCCTTCGGCCCCTCGATACCCTTTCAGGCACAGTGGGAAATCGGCCAAATCTCGTGACAATCCCATGCTCCAAAAATATAGGGTGTCCATGTGACTACTTATGGGCAACTTTTTTCATACTGAATCTGGGGGAACCAACTTTTTTATTTTTGTAGGCTGTTTATCGTTAGACTTCGGAATGGTATCATATTTTGCTTCTACACTCTATTGTCACTGAAAATTAATTTACCAAACCCTTGTTTTCATTACAAGTTCAGACATATGGAGCGTAGCATTCCGAATTGTCAGTCAAGGCAAATGGCCTCCACGATCTCCGGATTTTGACCCCTTGTGATTTTTTTTCTTTGAGGTTACTTAAAAGGCACTGTTTACAAGGAGAAGCCCACAGTTCTGAACAACTTGAAAGAGAATATCTCAAGTGTCATGTGCTGGAATTCTCATGGATAGAGCCAAAAATGGGCTCAGAAATGTCGGAAATCGGCGGTCGACACATTGAGCCAATTTGTCGAGTATATTCCTAATTTGTATTATTTTGAATTCCCAAAACGCTCTAATATTCAATCAATACCGTGATAACTGCAAGAAGTTTTTTTGCAATAGGGTCGAACGGCAAAATTTGCCTCGAATCGTTGTCTGAATTTCTTTTCCATTCAAATGAAAAAAAAATCATGAAACACCAGATGTAGGAAATTATTTTTCGGTCGTGCCAAAGTGGTAGGAGAAAAGATCTGACACTATTCCGAGGTCGGTACGTTGTCAATCTACAAAATAAAAAAATGGCTACTTCAGGGTCTATAATAATAAAAAAATTCGCCCATAGGTAGTCACTTTATGGACACCCTGTATTAGTTCTCGCGAAAGATGCTTACCTGGGGTCCAGGTGCTCCAACATCACCTGGAAGACCAGGTAGGCCAGATTCACCAGGTAGACCCCGAAGCAGTTCCGAAGAGGACATCTGAGTCAACATTGATGTGATGTTGCACGTGCAAATCTCTGAAGGACCCGATGCGCCTAATGACCCACTGCTCTGCACGAAACGGACCAAAGGACATAGAAATTCGTAGGTGTGTAGTGCCATGCACACGATGACGTGCCATCACTTACAATACTTGCAGACCCAATCTCAGTATATCCTGGCCCTGGTGGTCCAGGTGGCCCTCGAATGGACTTCCCTGGCGGGCCCTGGAGGGATATGGATTCAAGCACACCTGCACACGACCGGCATTGTTTTGGTATGGTCATAAAGATGGTTTAAGGACTCACAGGTTCTCCCTTCTCTCCCTTGAGGACCTTGAGAACCTTCCCTGGTTCTCCCTTCTCTCCTTTCTCGCCCTTGACTCCAGGTGGACCTCTTAAAAGAGTCGACCCTTGGAAAAAAAAAATTACATCGACTTAGAAAACCGCTGGAATGGTACTTATCTTATCCCACATCTAATTCCTTGGAACTCCACGTGTTGTCCTTAATAAAAGTCCAGGGCTAAGATAAATAGTGTAAATCATGCGGTGGGAGTGCTTACTGTCGTAGTCATAGTTCACATTAAATCACGAGGGTGAGTCAAGCGGACTTGAAATGAGAACGCACGCATCCTTCCATGCCATAATAAAGGGGCCATCTGGAGTTTGGTCTTTCGAAGATTTTTCTGTCTCAACCTACTGCACTAGGACTTTGACTTTGAATATGCAAAGGATGCGGGAAAAAACCAGGAGAAATAGGCACTTGGCCAAAGCCAACCGACCTATGGACCTATTCCTGCCTCTTACGTCCTATACCTTAGTCCAGCTGCACATTGGTGAAACAGTCTCGTGAAGCGTGTATCAAACAAGCTTCATTGCAAGAAAGACAATGTGTTGAAAGAGTGCTTCACTAGTGTGCGGCGCCCAATTGTTCGCGATGCGTACCATCCAATGAAGCATGTATCATATTAGTATGATGCCCGTTTCACGAGAATGTTTCACCAGTGTGCGGCCGACTTTACTGGCGAGACTCATCCCCACCTCAGGGTATCTCTCATTCCTTACTGGAGTCGATGGGGTCGAGGCTTGATGGAGCTCCCGGAAGGGATACATGACGAGGTTCAAAATTGCTGAAATCCCCTCCGCTCCCTTCCATTTCCTCCTCTTTCCCACCGAACGGCTGAAACACAACCATCACACCATCCGAAATTCTATTGATTCTTCGCATCAAGATGGAAGATCATCTGGAAACCCCGATTCCAATCAACTCACCCCTGATAAATCCATCGGTTCATACAAAATCGAACTATTGGCCTGGAACAACCAAGAAGCAAAGGAAGGAAACAAAGGAGCAAATTAGGAACGCAAAATAATAATAAAATAAATTAAAAACAAAAAATAACAGAACGTCCTCTATAATAAAAAAAAAGAAACGAAACGAAACATCATACGCCCCTCTTATTCGTTTTAGATTTCCCGTGAATGCGATCATGAACTGTTGAAGCATCATTCTGACTGGACCTTTTCACCCTGCAACGCCTATTTGGCGAGGACAACGAAACTCGGGCCAATTCCAGGTGCCTTGACGCGCCTTCTTTAGACATTGCACTCCATTAATGGGAGTGAACGTGCGTTCTTTTTCATGGTTGCAAAAGCCTCAAGTCACTCACCGGAAAGAGGCCCTCAGATAAGGGAAAACTGTCGTTCAAACTGATGTTGAAGAACACGGGCTGAAAATGAGAATAAACGAATAAACATATATTTAACAAAATGAACGAAATCGTTATTGACACGAACTCTCAAGCAGTTGTTTTCGTTTCCCTCCCTTCTCAACATCTTTCATTTCCATCTTTTGTTTTTGTGACTAGAGACTCACCGGAGCTTGGCAATGAACTTCCGCGGCCTTGGGATCACTATGGATCTTGAGCTCTTGAATGGCGCCCTATGGAAATAGGATGAAATGAGATCACGAGATGATCTCATCCTGCCATCATTCTACTATAATTGAGGGGAGGGGGAATTCCACCATAAAATGTTCTTTGACGATGGGACCAGCTTGAGCAAGATAGAAGGTCGAGGCAGAATCGAATATCAACTCCCTTGGATTTCGAACCCGAAACTCCACGGCAACGGGCTGGCATTCCAAGAATAAGGTCACGTTGTCATCCAGCACCTGTGGGTGGAGAGGCGAAGGAGAAGAACAAAAACATGACAGAGAGAAATGGAGAAGAAAGAGAGATGTTCATCCACGTGACAGTGAGATCTCTTGACGGTGGCTGGCATTGTTCATGAAGGCGCATTTGCATTTCCGCCCCGTCCCCCACCCCCTCGGAGGATGAAGGACTTGCCTGGATGGCGAATTTAATCCATTCTCCTTTCACGAAGTTGTCGACCATGAAGGTGGCAAGGACTTGGGATGTGGCATGCAGCTGGTGACTCGTGTAGTACAGGGTGATATTCTGCCTCCCGAGATCTCGCCCCGAGATGCTCAACTGGAAAGGGGAGGTATAGAATAACACGTTTTTCTTGTGAGTCGTGTGTGGGAGGAAATATGAGGGAAACACTTACGCCTAATTGGACAACTAGTTCAGTAGGATCGACGACGGCAAAAAGGAAGCCCCCCGACGACGTATCCGGCTGCACGACGGCCGTAATTGAAAAGTCCTGATAGAGCCGCTCGGGGACGACGAGTCGGTAGGGTTTTTTTATATCCGCATTCTCATTGATTCCAATGGCCGGGAAGCCATCGTCACCGGTAACGTAATACAGACTGCCATCCGCTTCCGGGAAAGGAATCATGGCCATGGTGAGATCAGCGCCGGTCGTCTTGTCATCCAAGAAATCTGCAATGACTGCCACATGCCCAGGGCTCCAGGTATATTTACACTGACAGGAGGATATCAGCATGGTGTCTTGATCAATCATCTCAGAAGATGAGAGTTGGATTCATACGGCTCAATCCCCCCCGACATCACCTCCTTAGGCCAGGGAATGAGACTGCCTATCAAGAATGCTTCCATCTGTGCCCGTCTCCATTCACTACGCCATTTCCTCACTTGATCTACGCCTGGAATCGACTTAATTTCACTGCTTATTGGAGCGAGAAATAGTCTGAGGGTCGCTGGGTCGCTCCCACGGGATGTTGACTGGGATATTTTTGTCTTCCTTTTTTTTGGCATTTTTTTAATGCTTTTTTTTCTCCTTCTCTTGCTTATGCACGAACGGGAGAAAAACGAGAAGTCGGAATGATATCTTCCGATGTCAATCGAGGGCAGTGACTGGAAAGTAGACAAGGAGATGAATTCTGGATTATTCATTAGATTACGTGCTCGTAATCCGCTGCACAAACGGTAAAACTCAATCCGCGTGCAGCATGCCACGAATGCATCCACAGCTCCCTCCCAAACTCTTGGTATCTTCTTTCCCCCTTCTTTTCTCCTTTCCTTTCTTGTCTCGTTAGTGATATTTCGTGATGTGACTCGTATGGGGCTAAGTCGATGTCGCCACGCCCCCACTCTAGCCATTGATCCGCGTGGGATTTCCGGACTGAGATCGATCATTCTGCATGATGAGTTTCTTCCTGCCCTCCATCTATCCCATGGCCTTGCCATGCAGGCGACAACATACGCATAAACTATGGGGGAAGGAGCCACGGAAGACAGGAATTTTTTCTTCCATACACCTGGGGGACCTGTCAGCACTCTCATCTTTACGACTACAGCAATTGCAGACGCAGAGCACATGCAGATTGCAGCTGACACACTTCCGGCAATCCCACCCCTTGTCTCCCCTCCCCTTTTCTACTCTTCAAGACAGAGACGCATGGGAAGCTTTTCTGTTTCTAATCCTGTTATTTGTCCCATACCTTCCCCATGGATTTGGGCAGATTTGAACAAAGCGAGAAATAAGGTCTGGCATGAGCCCATTTGCACATCATGCACGTTCACATCCATCTTCCCAAGCCTCATTCTCAAACATCCGAATTGTGGCATGTGTGACTCTCATGCGTACTAGTCACGCTCATTACGGGCCATTATGCAAACGCTGCACGCCTCAAGTGCATTGGGAATTCGGCATTCCAATGGGAGTCTGGATGAAGAAAAGTTAAAGTCATCCAGCGCTTTTTAGGAAGCCGTGACTGGATCGAACGTCGCACCAAGCCATTTGACAGGAAACGGGAATACCAGCGAATGATGGATCGGTCTGTGGAGAGCAATGAGTAAACTTGGATGAAGTGGATTATAGAACAAGAGGCAGCTCCATTTTCCTCCTCTGCTGATCGAAACTTGAGTGCTATTCAAAGGGATCCCCGTCATGCCACACACTACGCCCATTCGTTCTCCCCAGAGGTCTTTTCAAACCAATTTCCTGCAGCTTTGCTTTTGGTTCTCATTTACCAGACTCATCTGGATTCCACTGATTCGTTCTGTATAAGTGCAAATTTCAGATACTCCAGAAAAAAAAAGACTGATTTCGTTTGTCAACATGTGCGACTCCATGGACAAGTTTATTTGGGGCTGCTCGGGCCCTATTTTCACACTATAATATGTAATTGCCTGCATTTTTCTCAAATATGTATGATTTCATCACGATTCGATTCGGAACTGAGTGCTTCGAACAGAAGGAAACCTAGAAGGGTCGGATCCAGATTTGACACTCCCCTCCTCCTTTGATCCGAAGTCGAATGAGGGGCGAATATTTTGTTAAATTTCTATTATTGATGTCTGTCAGATATACAGTGTTCAGAAAGTCACGCATAATAGAGAACCAATCAACTTTGCTTCTCTTTCTGCGTTTCTGGTCTAAGTAGTAAAGCGTTCTAAAACAGTTCCTTAAACTGTCCCCGGTGAAGTATATTTTATGTTGGGACATTTAAAGAGTAAAGTATTTCAAGTTCGGCCACAAGCTATCCTACGACAGACTAGGTCATTGCTTGATCATGAAAGGTGCGCATGCCCATTCTGAACATTTACTGGAATTGGCTGCAATTTCCCCCGTGACTGTCTTTACACAGTCTTTAGACACTCCTTATTAAGTCTAAAATGAAAAGCCGAATTCTCTCCGTCGGTATCTACGCTGTTGAGAGTTCCCGAAAATCAAAGTTGTTCTTCACGTGTGTGCTGGCAGAGCCAAACCCACAGCTTTAACGAATCATCTCTCATCCCGTCATCAACGGAAGCCTTTCTCTTTTCCTCTCTTCTGTTCTTGCTTCCATCTATTTCCCAGAAAGGATAAAAAAAAAAAAACTACGTGCCTACCTGCATGCATGCATGCCTCTAAAAGATGAGTCTGTTTGATTATCAAATCGAGCGCATCGACAATCCAGGGAATAAGGTTATACCTCCTGCTCTTAATTTCCTGAGAGCTCAGTGCTCATCATCAAAGAGGGATGAAAACATAATTAAATGAAAACGATTTCCTCGTTCCTTTGATTCCTTCTCATCCTGTCATTAGTAGTGAGAATAATGAGAGAATGATCTGTTTCTATGAAGTGAATGGAAATGAAAGACGCATCAACAGGCGAATAAATGACTCACCATCGTCCGCCATTGCGAATAGAGGACCTATGATGAGGATCTCGAACCAGATAATAAACTTCCTCAGGACCCTTGAAAGGAAAAGGAAAGGATTGCTACAACTTTTTTTGGAGAGGAGCAACATTTTAATCTTAGAAGAGTGCAGTTTTTCATCTCCCCTTTTTTTCATTAAATGGAGCACGGATGCCTATCAGTTGTCCTGATCAATCCCCTTCGGGATTAGAATCAAGAGTAAACATCACAGGAGAGTCAATATTCCACTCTATCTTTGTTGATTGCTTCCTCTCTTGGGATCTCATGATGACAGAGAGTGGATCAGACGGAGATTAAGGACTGACTCCATTTCCATTCTTTACGGTCTTCTCCTTTCTCTCTCTTTCTCTTTGCATCGTACCGCGGCGAACTGGATTTCTTTCCGTGCAGCTCCCGAAGATGGAGCGAAAGAAGAGCGGGAGGAACAGCAAATCTTGAAAATCGTCAAGTACCACAAAATGCTTGGGAAAATAGCTCACAAACCCTGTTGGGTAAGGATATTTCAACGCGGAGAAGGAAGCAGGGAAAATCAGGGGGGGGGGGGAAAAGACGTCGAATCCAATCATAGATTACTCTCTGATGAAAAGGATTTCCCTGAGTCGCACCATAAACATTAGTTCTGATAGCACTTTCCTCAAGTTATTCATGTTGATCTCTCATCGATGATCTGTTTCTGCATGCAGTGACCAATATCGTCCATGGATTATCATTCGAATACCTTAGGGAGAATGCAACGAATGCTCTACGGCAATCGTGTCAGTATGCCGCACCTCAAAGTTGCACTTATAGTCGTCAAATAAAAATCACAAAATGCGCGAATTGTGAACCTGGTAGAGAAAACTTTTCGTACCATCTCCAGAGGCAGCTCTTCTCATGCATTTCTCGTGCCGCCGACAATAATTACTCTTATTACGGCGAAGAAACCATGTATGAGAGGGAGAGGATTGTCGGATATCACGTATCATTCTCCCCATCCAATAGGTGTCAGGAACTTCTCTCTTGGGTGTCTTTTCATTAGAGGGTTCGTTCTCGCAAAAAATCTATCGGTGTGTGACCTGACAAGCACATAGAGGGTTTAGCATCTCTTTCGCGCTCTTGCTCTCTCTCTCTCTCTCTCTCTCTCTCTCTCTATCGTCCACGTCCCCGCTCCTTTAGTTCCAATATATCCTTCTCAGCTCCCCCCCCCTTCCCCCGGGCTTCTGAAGAATTTAAATCTCTAAATCCTGTCCGTGACAATAGCCAAAGTTGGACGGTAACCACCAACTTTGTAAACTCTAACCTGTAAGAAGGGATAAGGAAAGGAGAGAAGCAGCGAGTAGGTAGGTTTCAGGTAGGGTGGGAGTAGGAGTAGAGTAGGAAGGAGGTAGACGAGGCGAATTTCTTAATGTTCTGAATATCCTGACGAGATAGAAGGGGTGTATCTTCCTAGAACTGGGGAGCAATATTCCCATTGAGCTTCAGATATGTGAGATCATTATGTCTTCTGTCTTTCGCTCCAGTGGCAGCTAATATTTCATTCGAGCCATCTAACCTTCTACTTCTCGTTCCTCCCCTTCTTTCCTATTCCTGGTACACAGTTTCATTTCCGCCTACGACACAGAATCGGTGAAGGAGTTCTGCGCTTCAGACACCTCATTCATATTATTTATGGAGTGGGGACAAGTGTTCCGAAAGGTCTGTAGTACTTGAAATAACGTAAGGATCGGGTCCTTTGAAGCTGATTTACGGGCGGTGAGGATTCCACATACCAGTAATTTTGATCGATTACAAAAACACCGGAGTCTGGTTCTGCCCACTTCCACGCCGCCTCCAAATAAAATTATGCAAAAAAGAAACCTGAAACGTTTCGCATCCAAAGTGTGGGAGGTGAAGGGCAATAAGAAAGGAAGGGCTGACCTGACGAAAATCATGCTTCACCGAGGGACTGTGACGTTTTCAAGTGCAGACCAAACAACTGCGGAGAGGGACTTGCAGCCTCGGTTGAGGAACAGCACACTGTGGCGTCATAACGCATGAATCGACGGCAGGGGAAGAAGAAAGAGAGGAATAAAGAAGCGAATGGAATGAGAGGAACGAAGACGGCACAGCATGGGGAATCCCGACGTTCACCGGTCGAGGTGCGACATGAGAATGCCTCGCCCCGCTCTTCTCGTTCGAGACTAGACTCCCTCGCTCCGTGCCTTTTGGTCTGCTCCCTTCTCCCCTCGCTTTCCCGTTCTCTTTTTGAAACGCCCTCCTGTCAAGTAAATGCAGATCGTGATCCTTTGGTGAATTGGCGGAGCACATCATTCATCCCGATTCGTTTCCCTGATTTCCACCGGACACGTGCAATGCTGGAGCTTCCCACTTCGCCAGTCCAAGAGCCTAGACGTAAGAAAGTCTGTCTTTTCCTTGTGAATAAAAAAGCCGCATGTTCCAAAAAGAGGACTCAGGAGTTCTTGTATCTTCTCTTTCAAGATCTCTTCTTTCCTGAAGTGCCAGACCCAGGACAAAACATGCGGAAAACGGCTCAAGCTCCTTATGGTCTTTGGCAAGGACTCAGCTCATCCTTGTCGATCTCTGCCTACCTTGTGTACGGACCCGACGCGACGACCAGACGGGGAATTTAATTTCGCTTCCCTGGCGCTGTCTTCTGCACAGTCCTCCCCTCATTTCCTCATTCCAACTTGTTCCAAATTCCATTTTTGTTCCTCTCTCCTGGCTCTAGCCCTCTTGATCTCAATATCTTTTCCCTGCTAGATCCTTCCTACGCTTTCAATTTTGCATTTCTTCGAGCTCTCAGTTTTCTATTTTTACTTCCTGGGAGAACAGCTGCTCCCATCAATAAGGTATGAAAAAAGGCTCCGGAACCAA